GATTAATTAAGTAGGGTTGCAAAATTGATTATCCTGCAGTATACTTCTATAATAATTCAGTTACCACAGGATGCCGGCTTTCGAAAGAACTTTTCGGCTGCATGCAAAACCATACTCTGTGAGAATTTTTAATATCGTAAGATGGCCATTCATAAAACGTCATGCCTCTGTATTTAACATTGTAGCTCGTAAAGTTAACAATATGACTCAGTTTCATTGCTGAATTTTATGAACCCCATATAATCTCCTCTTAATACCGTAGAGAACTGTATAGTTGTCCGTACGCGTAAAATATACGGCCTGTAGTTTGGAAATCCTGAATGCAATTGTAACGGCAGGTCAGGTTCAACAGTATTCGGGAATTGGGCAAGTTTTTGAAAACCGAATTATGCCCTTCCTTTAAGTATAAAATTGGCAAACGTAGTTATCTACCGATTGAGTAAGAGAATGAATATTTTTATGCATGTTTTCTACAAAATAAATTTGAATCTTTAGGGGCATCGAAAATTAATGAGGAAATTGCATACTACACAAGTAGTCATTTTTTACAGAGTATAATTTTTGCGTGCAGCCCTAAAGAAGTTCCTTCGAAAGCCGACATCCTGTGTTAATTTAATTATTATAGAATTATGCAGTATGATGATTAGTTTTGCAAACCTACTTAATTAACCTTTTCGAAACCGAAACGCATTTTGGAATTTCGGCTGACATTACATGAGTTGATCAACTAGTTCCTGGAACTCGCATCTTCGCCTGTATCGGCAATTACATGAGTTAGCCCACATACTGTATGATACAAATCTTGCATGTTTGGGCAATAAATCAGCATGAACTCTAACGATAGTTGGCCTTTCTGCAATGTTCTTCAATAGAAAATAAAACAAAAGCATATTCATCCAAGTTAAATGAAACGGATAAAATAACAAACATGCTCCACATGCGGAAGCAGCTTCCAGTTCGCAGATTAGAATCCTGCACATAGTCGGACGCTTGACAAGATGTCATGTCTTCTCGGATTAGTAAATTAAAGGTTTGTGCAAGAGCACACATACAGTTTGATTTCCAGTGCTTAGAATTTTTATCAAGGACGTTCTTTGTCTAAAACTATTTCATTGTTTTTTCTGCGTCATCTTGTATTGTGTTAGCTTAAAGCCATCAATAGTAGGCGACGAATCTCATGAAATCTTAAACGACCTTCTGCAACGCGCTTCCTATTGGGAGGCATTACTTAAGAGAGGTAGTAAAATTGATTGTCGTGCTGCTTAATCTCAAGAATGCACTTCTGTTTGGTTGCCTTCGGAAACTACAACTGGTTAAAAAACGACTACGTACGTAGTATGAGTTTTTCAAATTGATTTTCAATGTCCCTTGTTGATTCAAATACGCTCTATAGAAAACTAGTCCGAAAATTCCATTCCTTTTACTCATTTGTTAGCAAATCACGTTTATCGAAAATGTTTTACTCAAAAAGCAATTATTAGTTCTAAAGTAGTTTCTAACAAAGATATTATTGAAGACCGTAAAATGTCCATTTACATTGTGTTATATGTTTCCATTTGTAAATGCCATTTATAAAATATACGATATGGTCCACATCCATTGCAAAATATAATGAGCTCTACACATATACATCAGTCCCCTTATATAGAAAACTTAAAGATAAAAATACACTTTATTGTACTTACTTGGTAGCAACTCACGTCCTATTCAAAATAGTTTCCGAAGAAAAAGATATTAACATCTATTTGAAAAAACACGCTTTCCGGGATAATTCTGACGCCAATCGTGTGTCGTATTTGGTTCAGAGTTTAAAGGTACGTGTTGCATATTATCTATGTAAGGATATACTTGAACTCATGTATGCCATTAAGATATTATAAAGGCCTCGGGAAAAGTTGTACTACGTGTAGACAATGTAGTATACTTCATAAGGCGCGATAATAGACAGAAGGAGATGGCGTTACTCGAACGAATACTTGACGGTCTTAAAAATATCGAGATCAGAAACTTTTATAAACGAAAATATGGCCCCTTTACGGGAGTCAATTTTAAAGAAGACGAGATCCGCTATCAAATGAGTACACGAAAATACTTTCATGCATGTTTTATACGAAATATTTTTAATCATACATCACCATCGAAAATTAATGGGAAAGTTCACATTGCTCAATTAATCATTTTTGTACAAGGTTTTTGTAGGCGACGGAAACGAAATGATGATCGAGACAGAGAGAAAAGACGCGATTTAACTGGAAGGTATCATCCACATACTTTCAATAAACCGTTCCCCCAGTTCCCGAAACCAGAATACAAATAAATAAATAACGAGGGAGTAAATGGATCTACATAAAATTGAACAGATATTACAAGGACCGTTCGAGCATGGTTTTCTTTATCTCACTCTTTTCACACGCAAGGTATTGTGCCAGGAATGCTTATACCGAAAATCTAGCATTATGTGGTACAACAATCAAACCTACAAACCCACTTACGTGATTCTTTTTTATTGGAAACGTATGGGAGGATTTCGGTTAACAGGTCATGAGAGCGATTCTTGGCCGCAGATTTTGACTGTGTCTTTTTCGATTTACTGGGACCTTTTGTGAGTCATTAGCGATTTGTCTCAAATTTGCAGGCAATTTATTGGTTCTTCCGTCTAATATAGACAGTTTGCTCACACCTGCATACCTAGGTTGTGCAACGTTGATATGCGGACAGTTTACCTGCTATATTTAGACGAAAGGCTTTTATGTCATTTCTTAACTGACTGGCCGGTACAACTTTGTTTACTTCGTCTTATTTAACATACGCTGGTCTACGTACACTTAAAGAGTTTTCCTAGATGAACTCTTTGAGTCAGTCAGATTAAACTCCGATGCATGTCACACGCTGAATACTACCTGTCTATTCATGTAAAGGGCGGCATTTAGAAGTTATCTAGTGAATCCTGGAACTTCGTTCGAAATGCACTTCCTGCAAACATTTTATCCGAGTTTTATCAGAGTCTTTCCACGAAAATATTTTTTATGTAAAGAACAAAGAGACTTTAAAGTTCCAGCCCCGAAACACGAGTTTAGGTCATAATGTATGCATTTCGATGTCTATCTCAGTTTTGTGCGTTCTAAACGCTGAGTGGTGAAAATAAGTCAGACACGTCTGGCTAATTTTACTGATTTCGTCGAACGCACAAAATACTAACTATAAACTACACCTAAACGGCTCGTTTTTGCGTAAATCATTCATTTTTGCCTTCCCATTGGCCGCACCCACATTTCCGGATTGTCCCTGCAATTCGGATTCTTGCTTCACGACATCAACAAACTAATTTCAAAATCAATTTCGTTGATGGTCAAGGAGATGCAAAGAGCGGTTGTTTACTTGGCAAATGAAAGAGGTCTGCTTGCTTGCTAAGTGGAAATAACGCTCTGACGGCTAACACATTTAAAGAGTGGGACGAAATAATTAACCAACGTCGAAAAGTTATAAGAGGGTCTTTAAGAGTCCTTGAGCGTGGGGATGAAAATTCAGGCAGTTTCAGGAGACGGCACAGCCTGCATGCCTGCATGACTCTAATAATCCAGCTTTACTCGCATCCTAGTAGCCGTTTCCGAAGCTCCTGGCAAGCAGTATCAAAAACTTACGAGAAACACCAAAACATTCAATCGACAGACTAAACAGCACTGAAGTTTCCATCGGCTTTCGAACTATCGACACGTTGCCCGGAATTATTGAGCAAGTAAGCAAACCGGCTTGCAGAGAGCTTTACTCCAAATTACACTTAAAATAGATGATTACGTGAATATCGAGATGCACACCTTGCCGGAATGATCCCTCGTAACCAGGATAGATATCAAGAAAACGTGGCACCCCGTGAGTCTGTATTTTGTGAGAAGTACTGATTATAATTTCGTCCAATCCTAGCGCAGACCGACCAAAAAGGACGCCAAGGTAGGCCGCGTTCAATACTCTCTCTGATGCATTCATCAGATTTCGTCAGTAGGCAACAGGAGAGAGAAGAGGGCATATGCATTTGGCGTCAGTCGTTATGGGAGGGAGTTGGGGAGAAGTCCGAATGAACCGAAGGACGCATTCAGTCAGATTTTACATTAAATGTCTCAAATTTTGCACAATTTACACTCAAAACTTTGTTAAAAAACGCCATCAAACTGGCATTAGACTAGAATTCTATCCTGGAGTAATTCCGACCTGACCGGTACTTTAGTTGTCTTTACCTAAAAAACGAATGTGAACTACTTGCCTTCGCTGCACAATCAACTCATGATCTAACGACCGTGATATATTTGGCGGTGCGAAAGACAGCTAAGAATTCAAATAGTCTTGAATAGGCGGCCACACGGTTGAATCAGGAATGGTGTCCAAGTCATGCTAGAGTTTGAGACGCAATTTCTAAGCCGTAGGGGTACTGAGGATATTCAAACATTTCGAATTTATTTTGGGGTATCAGGGGGCAAACAGACACCGTCTGAGTTTGGAGAGATTCATAAAATCTTATCAATGACGCTGTGTATGAAGCCCCAGTGTCCCATAAACACAAACAGTTAAACGGGCTTCGAGCGTATTTGAACGATCCGTCCGTTTAAAACGGTAGGTGTTGGTTGCTACCGTCAAACCCTTTCATCCGAAAGATGGGCGAAAATTACGCAAAATGAAACTTGGGGTCTCCCACGACGCAAAAAACGGATTGTCACAAGGTACACGCCTGTGCTGCGCTGTCTCATCACATTCGTACATGTAGAGTAAACTTGCCACACGATGCTAACAAACTATTTATGAAGAAGAAACCAGTCAATCCTGTGCGAATAATAAATGCTCCGAGATATGAAATAAACTACTTAAATGCAGCCGGACGGCGTTGGACGCGGCTATAGTTTAAAATGCAGTAAAGGGCGGGAGTCAGGCAAAATTCCTGTCGAGTCCGTTTTGGGGAACATGCGACTCGCTAGAGGAGGGTCGCGTGTGTTTGTGAGAGGAAAAGCCGTTTACGGAGCGAGGGGTGACGAGGAGGAGGCCAGGGTGCCGACACGGATGCAGATGTAAGTGAGGAGGACAAGGACGACGCCCACACAAACTCCAACAAGAATGATGTGGAAACTCAGCCAGTGGTGTTCATGATCGTCTGGGCAGGTTACCGCTATGAAGAGGGGGGACAAAGAAACAGAGAGGTTTCACAACTGAACTTCCTAAATGGATGATAAGGAAATCATATAACTGGCGCTCGAGTAAACTAAAAATATACAATTCGCTTAAAAGCATAAATCATTTAAAGGTAAGCACTGTTCTCCTAAATAAGTATTTGCCTAAACTACGTAGGCCACGAACGAATCATATGTCACATTTTGGTGTGCATATAATTGAAAAAGATAAGGAACACAAGACAGAGCAAGTCAAGTTTGGTCAATTCCTGAACATGTTTAGACAGATGGCCATACGCAAGCCTTTCCCTTGCTTTTGTGGGCTCGAATTCCACTGTGGTTCCCGAGGTTTTCCCAGATGTATCAAAATAAATTATTTTGAATTGTTCACTTGGCCCATGCACAACAAATATCTGTACTTAAATATTAGGTTCGGTCTGCGTAGATTTTAACTTGTGACGATTTTGGCGTGCTCCTTTTAATGACTTTGACCTCGCAGAGCCGGATTTATGCTTTTTTCATCTCATTGGTAGAGTTTTAACGTCTTGCTTTGTATTATTATTGATAAATGAGAGAGCACACGCCCGTTTCTCAGATTAGCACATCAGGCGATTCTACACAGGTACCTGCAAGTTCACCAAACGAAGCGTCGTTCAGAAATCCCCGTTTAGTTAAACAAAATCCACAATTTCATCACAGACGGTGAGTATTCTTGAGAGCTAAGATAGCCTCCGAAATATCCTGCGGATAGACATATGCTTCCAGTTCAAAAAAATGGTTGGACAAGAGATAACGGATCCCCTGTATTACACGTGGGCTTGCACTCGATTCCAGGGTGTGGAGTAATGTTTGGATTATGAGTGTTAGGAGGGTCGGAGTTAAGTTGCTGAACGTAAGTGTTAAGGTAAGGCTTAAAACTAGAACGGGGAAATAAATATCCCTCTGGAATTTTGAGTGAGGCCGCTTGCGTCCGACGGAGAATTCTTTACTGCACTGTAACCATTCTGACGCGATATTAAACCATCTTTGAGCGCTAAATATGGTGGCCTGAAAGGCTGCCACCTGCGGGAATAACAGGGTCCTCTATGCGGGACTTAGATTCAGCTGCAAGGACACATCCCATAACGAATGACCTACATGGAAGCGTATAGTAGCACGCCTAGGTACAGACTGACGCCGCGCCATCCGCGTCCACCGAATTCCAGCATCAGAGCTCTGACCCCACTCAGACTACGGACAGCTACATAGGGGAGGGAAGAGAAACTAAAGTCGGCTCTGGAGACTCCGTCCAAAGAGCCCTAAGCGTCCGATCTCACTGCAATACATCTGGAGCGCTTAAATCTATCACAATGCGCCACACATCGTGGCTTGAAAGGCTGCCAACTAAGGGCATAATTCGGTCCACTTGCGGGACTTTGATTTAGCTACAAAGACTCCTTTTTAATGTAGTCTAACTGACATTCCCTCGTTTATATGAGACCCTGATCAATCCTGCTCAGTGCAGGTGTATGTGAAATTCATAGAGCTCAATGTCAAACTTGCAATAAGCTGTGTATGATTTATGATGAAAAAGAATTAAGTTCAGGAAGACTCAATGAATAAAAGACAATCTCAGCTTCCGTTTGGCAGACGCGTGAACCAGCTCTGAGGACATTTTGATGTGTTCAAGGTCAGTGCTTAAAGGTTTGCTAGAAGCCAATCGGTTGACACACGTCACTTCATAATTTAACAACCCTCCCATGTGACAAGTTTAGAGATCTTTCTGAGCCACCCGTCGTTCTATCCTTTTTTAAAATCCCTTTTTTGGACATCTTTGCCATTCCATATTTATTCTACACAGTTTCGGGCAAGCTCACAAGGAGAAGAGCCGTTCAGGAATCACCGTTTAGTTAAACAAAATGCGCAAATTCATTACAGACGGCGAGTATTCTTGAGAGTTGGGATAGCCTTCGAAATATCCTGCGGGTAGAAATATGCTTTAAGTTGAACTTCAAAAAAGATTTGTTGGCCAAGGTATTACGGATCTCCCGTATTACAGGTGTGCTTGTCCTTAATTCAAGTGTGGGGACTAAGGTTTGGATTATGACGGTTAGGGGGGTCGGAGTTAAGATCACAAAAGTCAGTGTTAAGGTAGGAATTAAAGCTAGAACGGAGAATTAAATATCCTTCTGGAATTAAGAGTGAAGGCGTTTATGTCCGACAGAGAATTATTTAATGCAGTGGATACAGCTCCTTACCCAACTTGCTGCTTTACCTAAACAAAGGGACTGAAAACTAACAATAAGAGGACTCCTTTATCCTAATTAATCGATTAAAATCCTCGTAAGTTGGCGCAGTCTTTGCCTTTCTCCCCTATGTTTCTTCTCCACTTTGCTAGTTTGCATGAACCGCCATGCGTGTATAGGATAATTTTCAGTTGGTTTATATGCTTCAAATAGAAGCGCATCACCGGATTATCTAGGCGCCAGTCCGAAATGTACGATCACCAACTGTAATGGTATTCACCTCCAAAGCAGTCGGCGGTGGAACTGCTAAGCATCGGATGTCTAAGTAGTTGTATAAAAGAAAATAAAATGAGACGAAGATGACAATATATGAGTTTGGATAGGGTATACTGAGAGGGTATTTTAAAGCGATCAGGGCAACTCGTAGCTCAAATGGCCCGGATTCCACCAATTCTGCTATTGTGAGACAACTACCCAAGCAAAAAGCAAACAATTTAGATGATGACTTCCGGACTTGATTAATTAATTGGCCTTGGCTGTGGTAAAGCCCTACCCTGGCTGCCCTGTGCTCAAATCCCAACGAGACCGCCGATTTTTTTTAAAAATGGGTCAAACGAATCATAGAAATCTACCAAAACGCCAGTTTATAGTAATTCCACTTATAAATCAGGGATAAAGTTCTTCAGATCCATTAAAATAGGACCGGAGGTCTCTTACCAGTGAGAAACAAAGTAGATAACTGGGCCAGCTGAAACTTAGTTTGACCAGCCCCTAAGTCCAATGAGATGAGTCTTTTGACAATTAAATTACAGAAAATTTGCTTGTCACACAGCATTCCATTGCCGCGAATACACCTTTCTCCTCAGCACTCAACTACCTACAACTGAAATGCAAGTATACATAATTTAACCGGTGGGACAGATGTGGGTGACCACTTGTAAAGACGTCGGCGGCTACGGTGGGATTCGCAACCTCGACGGCAACGCAAGGGCCTGGGTACAGCCAATATGAGTCTGGTAGTCATATCATTATTAGGGAATTCCTGCTTGGGCAATCAGCGCAATGCATCAGATGTGGTGAATTCCATACGCTGCAGTAGGCTGGGTGAGTAATTAGACCCAGACATGTCTAGAGAGTTGGCCATACCCTAGCCTTCACCTTGCTTTTTTGGGTTCGAATTCCACTGAGTTCCCGAGGTTTCACAGATGTGTCAAAATAAATTATTTTAAATTACTGATTTGGACCATGCACAACAAATATCCGTACACAACTATTAGGTTCGATCTGCGTAGATTTTAACTCGTGACGATTGTGGCGTGCACCTATTAATGATGTTGACATCGCAAAGCCGGATTTATACTTCTTTCATCTCAATGGCAGAGTTTTAACGTCTTGCTCTGTATTATTATTGATTAATAAGAGAGCACACGTCTGTGTCCCGAATTAGCAGATCGGGCGATTCAAAAAAGAAGCACTATGATTCTTAGTGAGCACAAATATATGAACAGTTGGACAAGTTTCATGACAAGATGAAAATGCACACATCCTGTGAATGTATTTTGTTAACTATGGAACAGATAAATTGAATAATGATAAAATAATTTTATTATGTGGATAGTAATAATTAGACTAATTTAGCAGAATTATTTAGAAAACCCAGATAATTATCATTGCGCACGATAAAACGGACCTGGCCAGCGCACCATCGGCCGAGTCATAAAAGTCTGGTTGAATTCGTCATTTTCAGCATATCTGTTCTGAAGACACCAGGACACTCCTATTAACAAATGCTTAGTCTAATCCTACAATTTTCGGAAAATTGGACATAATTTGAAGACTTCGGGACTGCTGTTTTGCATTCACATTCTAACTGCCCGAAACCCAAAAAATGAAACTACATGACAAACAACAGGCCAAGATAAAGGCAACAACACATACGCAATTGAGTAAACGAACGTTTTATTACGTGAGCGATGAACGTTTGCCGCTACTCCATACCTTTTTTAAATTAAGTAAACTGTCAGAGCTTCAACCATAAGTTTAGCCAAACTCTTATTTTCAAACAATCGGCGCGAATTCCGACATATGAAAGTCGAAAGGTTACACCATTCGAGACTGATTGACCTTGTTGCGCAAAGTATCGATTTCCGTTAATTCTCTTTATGGAAAAGAGGACGAATTAAATTACAAGCGGTTGAATGAGCCGCGCGTGTACGTAGATAGCTTTGACGTTTTTTCCCTTGCAATGACCCTCATGGGAGTTGCAGTGTGCGAATACGGAGGACAGATCAGGGCTGCACGCCTTTTACACATGCCGTACGTGGCGGTGTGGCGGCACGCCTTGGCGATGGCTCACGCTGCGCCAGTCATCAGCGCTCGACCCCTCCTCCGTGCATTTTGACTCTTTTACGACACCGAGTCCAAGAGGGTGGGGGGTGAGACAGCCCGGTAGACGCAGCGCAAGTCTACCATCACTATAAAAACATGTACGCGCAATTCACGATCACTGCACCCGCCATTTTGCAGGACGCATGGTGGAAATCGTCGAGAACGGGGATCGAACTGATGGGGTATGGTGTGTCCCCCGAGTCCTCGTGGTCAGTGCTGTGTGCGTGTGGTATTGATACAGGCTGCGGGGGGGATGTGCTGGAACCAAACAGGGACAGGATTTGCTTAAGCACGTGTTAACCAGACTGCTCAGAAGCCACACATCCCTCAACAAATGACCTAAATGGCGGTGTGTGTGTAATAGCACGCCTATATGCAGACCGACGCCGAGGTCTGCCTGCCTCAGACTACAGACAGACTAGGGACTACGGACCACTGCATGTCAGAGGGAGGAGAGACTGGCGTCGGTTCTGGAGACTCCGTACAAAGAGCTCTAGGCGTCCAACCTCACTGTAACACATCTGAAGCGCTTAGATCTATCACGATGCGCCCCACGTTGTGGCTTGAAATTCTGCTAACTAACGGAGAACCCGGTCCTCCTCTCGGATCAAATAGTCAGGTCAAATAGCCCATTCTGAATGTGGCCACCACCATCGCCCTCTGGTGGGATTTCATCCGCATCCTTGCTGTTGGAAAACTCGGTCGATGGTGCGGAGGTCAGTTTATGAGTGGCACGGACAGAAGAGGTTTTTAAACTTGTCAGTCACTGCCCCCCTCCAGCCTTCGATCCCCCCCCCACTGTCTCGTCACACTGTTCAGCAGGGAAAGGTAGGAGTGAGTGCGGCAGACGCAGTGCAAGTCTGCCATGGCAATAAACTAATTCAAGCGAAAGTCGCCATCCTGCGCCCACCATGCTGTGTGTCATAAGGGGGACATCGTCCTTCGTGACACTTGAACTGACCTGTGTGCTTACGTATGTGTCCATAGAGGGACTTGACTGGAGGACCGAGAGGTGGCACGCTGGTTCCGCATAAATATGACCTCTATAGCACCGTTACGCATGTCAGCTGTGAGCCACCCCTACAGAAATCCTGAGACACGCTGTGGGGACTAGCTCGTGTGTCGTACGCACAAAAGAACTGTTTATCTTGGTTAGTCACAGCGCTCGAGCCGGAGCCAGGTGAGCGACGGACGAGGAAGTGCGGTAAATCTGTCTGCCAAATATCGTGGACGTCATCGCCGAACCGTCATCAGGTGTCCTAGGATGTGATATTCAGTATGATGCATTGACACACGGACATCAAGTTGAGCTGAAAGTGTTGGTTATCCCATCAAAGCACTGCGCTGAAGTGTATGCATTTTTTACTGATTCATGATGCCCTTATTAGTTCAAATACATCTTATTAAAATGCCACGCAACCGTACGTTTTCAATACTCATTTGGTATCAAGTACTTACTTCCTATTCGAAGTCACAAAAGACCCGAATATACTTTGAGTAAATATGCTAGCGCACCGCAAGGGTCCCCGAAAAGTCGAAAGCAACGAAGATACCATTAAAAATCACAAATTCAGAAAATAGTCACAGTGAAAGCTCTATTTCAAAGAACGTGTGTATATGTAAAAAGCCCTCAAATACGATTTGAAAAGTCGAGACTTAGTAGAAGTTGAAAAAAGACCGATAAACTAGTAAAAAATTGACTTGCAAATATAGTTTTGTATAAGTTAGGCACTTATCGGTCAAATCTATAAAAGAGAATTTGGACCGCAGAGGATATACCGAGGTCAGCGACCCGAATAACATTAAATTTTAAACCTTAAAATGATTAAATATGGGGAAAGCTGAAAAATTACACAAACATACCATAATGAGTACATTCCCTCGTTTCTTTGCTTCTTGTTTCCATAAATTAACCCACCAGGTGCCCAAAAATTCCTCAGCGGCAAATACTAACATGTCTCCAAGAAACGTAAACGGAAAAGTCGCTAGCAAGACCAGGTTAAACATCAAACAATTCCCCCACAAGATCATATTGTCAGAGGCAATATGCTGGTTGCTTCATCATATTTTTTTACAACTTTGAAAGATACTGGCAACTGAACGTTTCCCGCTCCTGATCCCTACTCATATTTTCAGCCATCAGTCCATACAACTCTAATTAACCAGCCAGGCCACAAAAGTAAACGGAGCGATCGGATTCAAGTTATTGATGCACTGACAATAATAACGACCAAACGTGACCAACTGCAGCCGGTTCAAAATCCGCCCAAAATCAACATTCTTCAGCGAAAAGGACGGACAGAATATTCTTCACCGCAGAACCCTTTAACAAGAAACGATAATTCCTATACTGTATAGCTTATTTTTTTCGCATATCTGTTATTAGTATGCCTTCGAAAGCCGTTTTTTAAAATTAAACAAATTCTCAATTCACGCATTCCTGATTAAGCAGAAGCCTCAAGCAAATGAAGTCAACGTGCAATCAAAATCAATGAGTTTATTTTAAATTTTCCTACAGTCTACGGAAACTGACAGTTGGTAAGTTATGTCTACTTCAAATTTCATACCCGAAGGGAGGGTATGTTTCGCTTTTTCCGAAGTCTGTAATTATGGGACTTATAGTGCCAGTGAAATTTCCATTCAAAATGGCGCTCTATCTATCTGTTGATAAAGTAGTCAAAATGGCCCAAACTGATTGCAACGTTTTATGCGCCCTTTATGGTACCTTCTTAATTGGATAGAGCAACATAGTATTCCCCTCACATGGGAAAAATGCAGATTGTGGTTTGTAAAGATAAAACTCGAGCGCAACGGCCGGTGGACTTCTGCTCCTGCGCCAAGTCCTCTCAGAGAGAATACTTCATAAAAACAGACAGTTCGCATTATTTTATGATGGGCTTTATTGTGGGACGCCCTTATCACACTCTGACGCAACTACATTTATGTCTTTCTAGTCGAAATTTTCTAGATGTGAGTCTGAGTTAAATAAGAGGATAGTCGCACTTCACACTTGCATGGCATGCCCAAAGCATAAATACCTTCTGGAAATGCTCACGTGCCGTGAGTAGACTAATCACGCGCGGTATCTGTCTTTGAACTAAATCACAGTATTTTAGTGAAAAAAAAAAACAGCTGCATCCGCCCCCACAGAAGGGCAATTCTATTCTAAGAACATAAGGACGAAAAATGAAGGATCTCGGGGTGCAACCGCGCGAGAGGAATAAAAGTCTTAAATTCATCCGTTTTGCATAATTTGCCATTCAAACCGCATATAAATTTCGTAGTTGGTGGATGCAGAGCTGCTCTTTGAAACCTCTAACGGAAGCATCTTCAAAGGTCCGTTTGAAGCCGACCAAAAGAGCTGTGAGACTGGCAGACGCTTTTGAAGTTAACGGTTCATATATCATTCGAACCTCAGGCTACATACAGACACGCACCGACGAGCCCATGGATCCGTCCCCAGAGAGGTTAATTCTAAACTGAATCCGTTGCATCTTCCGACATAGCGGCATGCAGTGAAATCGCCAGAGAATTTGTGCTTACTCGAAAGGACCCTGGGTTTTGAAGTTTGCCGGTTTGAGTTCGCATCTATCGTTCCTGTTTTAAGATTTACTTTTTTAAGCTGGATGGTCTTTGCTGAAGGTTTTTTACACATTTGTACGCAACTTCAGCCATCATTACGTGGTTTAAGAGGACATATTAACTTGGATAAAGCCTAGAATTGTTGAGCTTTTTAATTCCCTTCGGCGTTCATGTATTACCTTTAAGCACATCCTACGTGACAAACACTTCCACACTCGTTCTGAGGACTGATATGAATATTTGGGCTGGAATCTATGAGAATTTGTGAAATATGAGTGTAGTTATAAAAGGCAGCTGGCGAAAAGTCAGTAATATATCAATGTTCAGTGACTCGCCATGAAGGCAGCATAGGTGCCAGTTAAAAGCCCACGCAAAGGTTTTGTCGACTTCTGCTGCCGCATGATACAACTGCGAAGAGTTCGCCAGTCTTCCTCCTATACTTCCTTCTATACACCCCAGTTTTAAAACTTCAGCATTTTATTCTCCTTACCAATTAAAGGCTCAACTTGGAACAGATTTTTGGAGTCTCCCAATTTTAATATATGCCAGCAAGCACTTAAATAAGGTTTACGTCTTACAAATTCATCCTGCTAAGTCTATGACTCGGCAAAATGCTCTCGTGGGTCATTAAATCGTTATCCCATTATAATGTGTCTAGTCATGATTATAAGGACTTTAGCGTAAGCGGATCGGGGTGTGAGTGCTTTGCGTCAGACACTAGAAACACCAGTAGATGAAGATGCGATCGCTGGAACAAGAAATTTATTGGCCTGACGTTTCGGATTCTCATTCGAATCCATCATCAGAGACATTCGCAGATAAAGGTCTAGAAACACCATGCTCGCTTTTCAATTCGACTGTCTAGAACAAAAAATCAACCCATTACCCCACCCTATGACGAGCACAGAGACGGTGACTGTGCTTGAACCAGTTTGCAGTGATGACAGACTTACGCAGCATCTGTTTCACTCGCTTTCTTCTCTCACCAATATGGACCCAGGTGATAGGACAGAGTAAGGACGACTGGAGGCAGGGTCAAGCGCAGCGGCTGATAGAGCTAACCGGTTCGTCTGCGCGTGCCACACGCTGAATCCGTTCTGTGGGCGATGGATTGTCTTCCCTGGAACTAGTGGGGGGGGGGAACTCGGATCACATCTGAGTAGAAGTGTCATAAAGTCCACGTTCAGAATGATTGCTTGCAGCCTTGCTGTCTATCTTGAGAGGGAGGGAATGAGTTATCCGGTCAGTTGGCGAATTTAAAAGTCACAAGTTGCAAGTCATCGTGGTAGATTTGGAAGGGGGGTGGTTGGGTCAGATTGTTTATAGTAAGGAAGTGCGCTAAGCGCCGTGTGGACGGAGCTCCCAGAATCAACCTAACTCTTTCTTCCGTCCTTCATACATCGGTCCCCCGTCGGAGCCGGTCAAGCATCTGATGCTGGAATTGGGCGCAGGTGGCTGGCGCGGCGTCTGTCTGCGCCTAGGTGTGCCACTATACTCCAATGTGTGTCGCTTTTCATGGGATGCGTGGACTTTGCACAGTCTGGTTAACTTGCGTCGTACTATAACCTGGCCTTTGATTTGTTTCAATACATCTCCCTCGTGGATCATTTCAGGGTAGAATGTGCAGGCAGGTGGAGTTTTCTAGAACTGAGGCGCGTAGTTAAGGCACAGGACGCGAAATGCGGAAAACGGTCCAAAAACCCGACATTTCTTGCATATGCTCTCGGTTACAAGGAAGGAGAGCTGGTAATTGAGGACCTACCTAACGCAAGCTGCTGAGGACGAAAAACCTTCCAAAGAAGCAAGTAGGGAAGCTGTTCCGCAAACCCCAAACTCTAGAGTAACCTGCAACAAACTTTGAATGCCTATACAACAGCACGTTCCCCGATTTCAAATAACCAGCAATCAAACCGATCCACGTTGCGGAAAGTAGCTGATTCTTGCTCGCAAGGAGTGTGGCTGGTCTGGGTAAACTACTATGGTGCACAAGTAGAGAGCTGAAATCTTCTTAGTCGATTGTCTAACGTGTTACTACAATTGGCTCTATTGTGAAGGACAACATTGTATTCGTAACACCGTGTGTCTTTCGACGCAAAATATATCGCGTTAATTTGAACGGGTTTTCTACAGGCGGGCTTTACAAAGATATCCAGATGTTGCAATTGTTCAGTTTCTAAATCAGCATGCTGCTCGATTGTATTAGTTGTAATACATTAAAAATCAATCAAGAATTATTTGAAGTATGACATTCTGGTAATAAAATGCCCTTTTAACATGATGGGGAATTTAAGATTGCTCTACCTCGTTTATTAAAATTTTTCTGCGACGTATTGAGCATATTATTATAATGCAAAAATATGAGTTGGCCCCTGCTGGTCTGTTTCAACTGCAGACTGCTTACATTTATTCAAATAATTTCGATTTATTGGCAAGGCGGGTTTAGATAATTGCATGACTACTTTAGGCTGTCCTAAGTAGATTGCCTCGACGTCAGTATCACCGTCGTTTTGTTCACAAGCGCTTCCAGGACATGTTTTAATGTTTCATGATCAAGCAAACTCTGCCCAGATCATTTCTGATTATGGTAAAAAATTCATGTTTCGTTGGAGACAAGGATTCTACACGAAAACGTCTACTTATTATAAATGGAAAAGCAGCTATGCGCACGCCTGTGTTTCCCGTATCCACTTCTTGCCAGTTTTCTAACTCCTTAATTGGAATTGTTTGTCAATAAGCAGTAATGTCAGAAACTTCTGCAACATCTGTCATTTCTAACAGATTTTGGACTCACTTGGATGATTTCATCACAGGACTAGAATTAGCTCACATCAGAAGCGGATATGTGTACCTCCCACTTAACTGTGTTGTACGGCCGCCCATAATACGGTAATGCTGGCAACAGGGATATTTCAGGAGAAGAAAAGCGTTATTTCTAAATATATATAAAGAGCATAAAACCGTATTGATGCGGCATGTTTCTTTTAATGAGCCAGATAGACACCCCATTGGAAGATAGTTCAGAAGCGTACATATCCAATCCCAACCGTTTTTGAATTATGAATGAATGTCGACTGCCTAGCAGTCCTTTTCTGGATGTCAACACACTGTTTATGGCGGTCTAGGTAGTATTTTACTCCAGTTTTAAGTTGTGTAAAAAAGGCAACCTCACGCCCTTCCTGGGCGGCATAGCTTGTACGGCAACGACGAAAACAATTTCGGCAGAGTTCTAGACGACAGCCGATAAACACAATATCGCAGTCAATCACACGCAGCAAAATAAGTAATATAGGGCACGCAATCCCGCTCAAGACGCAATCAAATTTTACGTGGCGAAAATCCACCATTTCATATAGGATTATGCGATAAATTTTCCCAAACCTGAATAAGTATGTTGTTTGAATTAACGCCACCGCAATCATGTGGAAAAACAGACACTATATAGGTAATCAAGAAGGCGTTGTTGTTCTTTAATTCGTGGTTCGCGGTGGAAACAAACACGAAGGAAAGCGTTCTTTTCCCAAAACAAAATAATGGGACAATGCAAACATCTCTAAAAGCATTCAAAGGACGGCTAAAGCTAATTATACTCCATACCACTCTCAGTCCAACAAGTACCTGATCAAGTCCACTATCCCATTTTCAGGAGGGTGACATTCAAAACCCACAGCCCACATGAGCAAAGCAGTGAATTACACATGCAAGGAACTGGGGTTATTTCAGATGTGGACATAGGAAAGATGCCAAATGGAACAGATGGAGCAAAGAAACCTGCAATTTGTATTACTACATAAAAGGAGCTGTTACGCAATGCATTTGGCTAGTCTATAACCCAGACTGAAATACAGTAGAAGAGGCCAATTCCATAGGCGGGGCAAAGTGAAGTTGGCATACGATTATTGTGATTGTGGCGAACGAAATCAGACCAGTTTATACGTTTTTATCAATGGGTCATCTATTAGCACTCTGTAATAACCTACACGGAACACTGCCCTTAAATCAGCTAACTGCATGACACCTAACTGGCAAAGTCAACTCATTAGAGTAAAGTACTGGAATCGTTTGGATTAAAACTTCACTTAGTAGTATATTTATCACGTAAACGCCCCAATTTATTGGCTTATTATAAGAATCACTAAAACATGAGTCGTAAACATCTTCGTGTTTAGTTGGATAAATGCTTCATAAATTTCATGAAGTACGGCAGACTCCAGACAGCTGGGCCATGAAACCTTGGATCCCGAATTACAGGCCCCGGGTTCAAGAGGCTCAAAAATAAAGAATTATCTCCTAATGAAAATATTCAATTTTTCAGAACGGTAAGGTTACGGGTGACCGTGTGTCTTACAATATGCCTAATGAAAGGGAGCATATATTCTACTTTTTGACAAAAAGATGATTTACCATTTGAGGACTCCATTACCAGCTATGTTCAGTTAAAATTGTCTGCAAAACACAAGGATAAGAAGTCCCTCTTTCGGAGGCTTTGCGCAAAGTACAAGGGGGTTTACGTCTATCATCAAAGTTCAGGTTAAAGTTAGAGTTTGTGCGGGGGTTAACGTAAGAGCTAGTGTTAGGGTCAGGACACAGGAGTGGTTATCCTTCCTGGAATTTCACTTAAGGTCACCTGTTTTAGCAAAAGGTGTCTCTATTCCCGTGTAATACGAAATCTTTACATCGGAACAGTCGAAGTGGAAATTAAAATTCGCATTTCGTCCTTCTCTATTTGTTTGAACCTGAGGCTATGTTTCTTGGTTTTTACTGGCTCAGTATACGGTACTTGGCCTTTTTCTTAAGAATACAGCAGGTGGGCTAAATCACGAAATGCCAACCGGAATTCCGCAATGCGTTTTCGCTTTGAAAATGTTACTTAAGTGGGTTTGTAAAACTAATCATCTTGCGGCATAATTTTATAATAATTCAGCTACCTCAGGATGCCGGCTTTCAAAGGAACGTCTTTCTGTCTGCACACAAAATCTATACTCTGTAAGAAAGGACTACACACGTAGCATGCATTTTTCTCATTGATTTTGATGCCCTCAAAAATTCAATTATATCTCATAGATAACATGCAAAATTATTTATTGTTTTGCTCGATCGGAAGAGCTTTACGCCTTAATTTCTTGCTCGAGTGATGGATATAATTTGGTTTTAAAGAAGTTTCTAATTTTGAAGTTTTTTGATATCGTAAAATGGCCGTTCATAAAGTCTGATGTTTTTGGATTTACGAGTATGGCTTGCAAAGTTAACAATACGGCCCATATCCACTGCTAAATTTTATGAACCCCATATGGTCTCCTATTAATTACGTAGAGGAATGCATGGTTTACTTTACGCAGAAAATATACGGCTTGTAGTTCAGAAACCCTGAATGCATATGTAACGGCGGGTCGAATTCAACATTATTCGGGAATTGGAACAGTTTTGAAAACAAAATTGTACTCCTCCTTTAAGTGTAAAGTTGGACGAAGACGTGATTTTCTACCGATTTAGCAAAAAATAAATAGTTTTATGCATGTTTTCTATAAAATTTAATTGCATTTTTAGGGGCACTAAAAATCAATAAGAAAAACTAATGTTAAGTGTGCAGTCAGTTTTTCAGAGCATAGTTTTTGCGTGCAGACGTAATGGGGTAGCTGAATTATAACAAAATTTTGCTGCAAGATTATTAATTTTACAAGCTTACTTAATGAACCCTTTCAAAACGAAAATGTATTTTGAAATTTCGGTTGAAATTTCATGAGTTAACCCACCTACTGTACATTATTTTTAAAGGCATCACAGCACCCTATAAGCGTCAACTTGTGTCAGTTAACATCGCAGTTCAGTTTGCAGAACAAACATTCCTACATTCCAGCGAATTCAGAAATGACTATCTACCGTCCCCCAAAGTAATTACTGTTGGTTCCATTTGTCAAAGGTATCTTACAACCTTAGAATCCCAGGTGCTCCGTAAATGTTCCGTTTTGCATTCATTCACTGGTCTGAAAGAGATTTCCAGGCAGATGGATGGTACGTACAAAACAAGAGTTTTGTTTGAAGGAGGCAATCTGTAATGCTGGCAGCTTAAGTTACCGCAGCAGATACAAGAGACTGATAGGAAGCACTGCCGCGCCCTGAGAAGTACTCATTTGCTGCTTCTAGGCTAGCCATTTTCTCCGACACGCCATCCTAGGTTTGTTTATGGACGCGTCCCAGGCATCAAGATAACCCCAATAATTTGCTTCCCACGAGACAAAATAAGCATTCTTATGGGCGCACGTGTGTAGATGGTTATTGTTTTAGCCAACCGGCAATTTAACCCAGCCCTCGCAGTCAGCCCAATATGTGTGTGTGAGTGTGTGTGTGTGTGTGTGTGGAGTGGACGGCTGGTGGACTGAGAGTTAGACGGTAACGGCTTCTTCTTGATGTGGCCCCCATGACGCGTGAGATCAGTGTCCTCCACCCATTTTGTGTGAAACCCTGGTGTTGATATTAACAAGGAGGCGAATTCCAGAAAGCAGATCAAAAGAAGAAGAGGAAAATGCGATCACTGGAACAAGAAATTTATTGGCCTAACGTTTCAGATTCTCACTCTGACCCATCATCAGAGACAGTTGCAGGTAAGGCTGATGGCGACGCAAGGAGTGCAGTATTTATAGAGCGCAGTTTCCACGCGAACACATGCCTAATTTAATTAACAGCTCCTGCATCCATTGCTAAGGGTCGTGCTTGATAGGATGATGACTTGTTAGTCCGCACCCGAGTAGCTAGTTATTGAAACTTATTTACCAGTGAGGATTCTTGACGTGATAATTACTCAGCCGGAACTGTCAGTCGTCCGCACCTTTTCGCAAGACTGGTGAATCTGCCCAGACGAGCTACAAGCTGTTCGAGTCATGCTTCTCCGGTCCGCAGTCGATTAAAAAGCTTACTATCATCCCGGCATCATATTTTGTGCTAAGATTTTGTATGGGCAGAGTAATCAGCCATGCGGGAAGGCGCGAGTAACCAATAGTTCGGGTTACAGCGAGCCGAACCGCAGGGTAGTCAACACGTCAATAATCCCCAATGATGATTAAATTACGGCAACTAACGACTTGGATACGGACGAACAAACCATCATCGTATCAAACACGGCCATTGGCGATGGATGCGAAAGCTACTAATTAGAGCGGGCATGTGGTTGCGTGGTAACTGCATCCTGCTGCGCTCTCTGTGCCTCCAGTAACCTTGTCTGCGACTGTCTCAAATAATGGTTTCGGATGAGAATCCAAAACGTCAGGCCGATACTCCGCTTGTTCCAGCGCTTACTTCTTCCTCATCTGGAATTCTTGTGAGTTGTGCGTGCGGGGAACGGGTCGCGTACGGAAAACGGGTAGACGAGCCCTCTCACTCCGTCAGCCACTGCGCCCAGCCCGAACATTAGATAACTAGCAAGCTCGGATAAGGGAGTGGTGTCTAAGAGAGAGAGAGAGAGAAAGAAGAGTGAGGTCGGCAGTCTAGTCGCATATTCCACGTTATAAACAATATGACAATTTTGAATCTATAACGATGCGCTAGACGCCGTGGTCTGTCGGATTAACTTGGTCCTCCTCTCATGACAGAGGTTCCGTTGGGACCTGATCCGCCCACCCTTCTAGTCGTGGGTAATCTTGGTCCTTTTCGCCCAGATCAGGGGGTGCGAGTTCACGCCGCGCCATACAGTTGCGCCCAGCCCCATCTGCGGTCTTCTTGACTCTGCTTTGACACCGAACACAAATTCAGTGAGAAGGGGCGGGTTCGGCAGGTGAAATGCTAGTCTACGATCAATTTAAACCTATTCACGCAAACTTCGCCATCCTTGATTGCACATACGGTAGGGCACACGGTGGACAGCGTTGAAAACCAAGCCGAGTTGCTTGTGACATGCTGATATGACAAAAGTAGGCTGACCAGTGCTTGTTGTGCTTCATAGTACTCCTGATGCGCAAAATCACCTCTTCCAATACAGCGCATTCTTACCGTTTATTTCAAAAAACTTGAAAAGTACTTTGTTCGATCTGATAGCATCAACTCCAACGTCGTTAACAAAAAGGGAACATTTGACGTCACACACTGCATGTTCACAAGGATTCGAAGTCATATATATACCATTAGGTCTCTAATATCGTGAATAACGGTTCTCTAAAATTATAGGACTATAGCCGCATAAAACGCGATTAATGCTCGTGATAATTAAGGAGTGATATCGCATCAGTAGTTACGGCTATTTCCCCACCGATGTTGAGAACGCGTAATTGAGTAAAATAACAACCATTAAACGACTAGGCAAACAAGCAAAGTCATAAGAACGGTTTATGAGCCGTTTCAGGCAGTTATAATCAGCAATAACCTACCAAAATTTTTATCTCCGCTTTAAAATCCACCACTATACTCAGCACGAAACGCCTTTTCTGAGTGAATTTTGTTAGTTTACTAAGCAGTTTGCTTAACAAAAACAAATACACTGGGAAAACATGTGGCGATTAGATTTTTCAATTTACGGAAGTGCAAGTGAACGATTACACTGCATGTGACGACAGGCCGTTTAAAATCTTTTGAGCAGAGGTCCAGAAAATGATCATTTTCCAGTTAAGCATCCAGGAACAAACTCCGTGTCCTAATTTCGCCTTTCCTAACACTGCTGTCAAGCCTGGTTTATGGAATTTACACAAATAACATTCATGGTCGCATGCGAAACTGGTTCTATGCTTAGACTCATATTTGAAATCAATCTTTCCCGAACACTCCTAAAGGGAATAAGTTTCGCGAATTTTAACGGTATTAGTTGCCTACACGTACGCGAGCTTTAAGTCCAAAGTTATATATTCCCAAGGATGTGCTTAATTTTGCATCAACCCGCAGTCTCCTTAAGACTTGACCCCACAGCTTTAACCACAATCAAATATTTTGCATAATCGCGAAAACTACATAATTTTATTCAGAGTAAATTCCATTTGCATTGCGGTGAATAAACATCTAACAAGGAAGAAATGAATCCAATATGCTTGATGACACAGGCGTTAAATGGAAGTGTACGCTGCGCATACGGGAAATTTTTGGTCGGATATTATTTCTCAGCCGCAACTGCTAAAATAGTCCCAGCTGCCTGTCATACGGGACCAGTGCTAAAAGGGGTTTACCCCAAAACCCTAACCACGACCAACAACCCCAACCCCTTACGCTTAACCGTAACCCCTAACCCTGACTCTAGCATTAACCTCTACCCCCTTATGGGTATAACGGCGAAATAAGACCTTGCCCAGTTTTTAAAACACCACAGATTTTCTTTTCTGAGAACGATGCGAAAGAAAGTATCGCCTTCGTCCCTGCACTCAAGTCGCAACAGCCCTGTATTCGGAAGGGCCCACCTAAAAACCAGAGGGCAATTAGGACTGGTCGACTTATTTGTACTTTCCTGATTACAAAAAAGTAAATTCCAGATATTCGAAACGGGCGGTTTGGAAAATAAATATCCAAAAATAAAGATATCTTGTAAATCAGGATGGTAATAATAGCTCGTACTAATCCCAGGTTCGATGTACGGCAATGTTTAAGGCATTTTTATTTTACAAGTAGGAAAAGCCATTTGTCGGTCTTAAAAAAGATGGTTTAGTTGGTTGTCATGAGTCTAATGTCGCCCTACACAAAGGTGGGCGAAGCATTGTAACTGAGGGTGACGACTATAATTTCCGTTTGTATAATGGGAAACAAAAAAAATAAATATTCTCATGAGTATGGGTTGATGGGTAAACTTACGAAAGACTTTCAAGCTCTCATTTAGGACAGGAGGGATGTTATGCTCCCTGTAGTTAATGAGACTTCCTTTCCTCAATTCCGCTGAGAACTGTAGGCCATTTCTCGGCGAGGAACGAAAAAATACGTTCAAAATGATTTTAAATCAGTCAAATGTTGAACACTTATGACCAAACAGTTCTCGAAAGCTCTGAAAATAAGGATAGGAAGAAGGTACATACTCTTCCAGCCGCTTGTCGGAAACAAATGTGCCAGTACCGTAATAACAAGCAGGTAAGTGTTGATTCAGAAGGGTTGAGGAGTAAGAATGCGCCGTGTATTTTAAAAACACGAACTGACTTTTTAAAAATCTTCCTGAGGTTGCAAATAGTCGGAATTTTCAGCCTACATTTCATCGAATATTCTGCAGTTGGGGAATAGTCACTGAAAATTTTTTTCGGTGTGAAGTTTTTAAAAAAATTATGCAGTTCTATTGCTTGGTAAAACAGAACGAAACCTCGTACTCCTATAGGGGATAGGACAAGTTACGCTTCAAAAACAATGAAAAACTATTTCACTACGTCGCCAATACGGATACAAGGTAGCAACTGGTTCTATAAGATGAAGATTTTGAAGTAATTTTTCAAAACTTGCTGTTAAATCGTCGTAAAATTTTGGTTTTAGAATATCTCCCAACCGAAAGTAATGTAGGTGGGAAATATACCAGCGTGTCTTAAGTCAAGAACGGCCTTTTGTCTGCGGGTGATAAGTAGAGTGGGGTAGAGTCCACCTTTAAGTATCTGCGCCATTCAACAGAGGCAGCAAGGGCCACTTTGTTAAGTGCCTAGCTTTATCAACAACGGAATTCGTAGAGCCAATAGTCTCAGTAAGCAAGCCGTCGAGGGCTTTTAATTCACTTGAGAATTTCGTGTGGTTTTTATGCCCCGTCGAGCTGCTCCGCACTTAATAAAAACCTTGCTTGGCAAACACTAACAGGCGGGATATTTTCAAAATTGTAGCATATAGCACACTATGAAATTTCCACCAAAATTATAGGACGCTTTAGATTAGAAGGGGTAACTTAAGTGGAGTTGTAGCAGTATTATCGTGCAACAAAATCTCAAGACGCCAGGATTCCGTCTTTTGAATGGTTCTCCTTTCAGTCTCCTACGGAAGCCACACTAAACAAAAATACCTATCTAAGTATTATGATCACTGATTATTATCACTTATTTTCAATGTCCTTAATTTATTAAAGTATATTTTGCCGAAAGCATGCAAAAAATATACTTTCGTTTTCTCCTTTACGGAGAATTAAATCTTAAAATTTACGACTTGAACTTTATCTTGAAATTGCCGTGGTTTTCTGTTAAAGAACTCAGTAAAGGGAGATTTTGTGAGTCAACGCGGATCACCCGTGCTAACGTTAAACGTTTGTATCTCCGGAAAGGCTAACTTTGCCTCAAAAATTCTGGTTCTTGGGAAGACTTGCCTACTTTACATTCTTATTGGTCGCACTAATATTTTCGAACAGACCCAAGGTGAGTCAGACGCGCATACGGCAGCTCTAACGTACCTAAACTTAAAAGTCGCTTACGTTGTCTTTCGGTACTGGGTATATCAGGAAGCATTTTTTCTTAGTCCAAAACGACTCTCAGAGCACGAAAACTGAGGCAGCGAATTGCGGTTCGAAAATTCAAATTACAGATATTCCGGTTTTTTATAATTAGGCTAAGGTTTTCAAAGTCCTTTATGATTGGCAAAAAGTGGTCTGCACAAAATGTAGAGATAATTACTTGAAAAACACGAGAAGAACACACGCAATGGATATGCCTAAATTCGTTTAGTCAGTCCGTGTGGTTTAATCAAGACACAAGTCCTAAATACTTTGTCGGCTGCGCCTTGCAAAGCCTCCTAGAGGACTTTTGAAAAGAGCTGATAAGCGTATTAAATTTTACTCGCCCTTTTCTATAGACAAATAGAGCAACGTACGTATGTATTCGGCCGTTTCAGAGAGAGTAATGTGCGGATGATTACTCCCTTACACAGATGTTATGGGGGAAGGCTTAACCAAAAATATGACTGACTCATCTGTGTGTACGGTGTTTGGCTAATGGTTTGGTTTTGTCTAGAATAATATGAAGTAGAGTCCGCGGACTGACACATATAACCCCGCCGCCAACGTATTGGAACTTTGAAGCATATTTTGTGACTTCTCCTACATCCAACGCCTCCTGAGTATTATACTCTTTTTGTCTGCCGGCATATTGTGGGCCGTTCTACCCTTATTCATTGCAGTGGGCCTTCAAATTCCGTTTCCTTCATTACGTGAGATAATAATTTGCCTTAACAATCTTCTCATTACAATAACTGACCGATCTCATCAAATGTTGGCTGTAATTCTGAAATGCGTTTTCAATTGTGAAGGATTACTTAGGCGCAATTATAAAATTTATTATCAAGCAACGTATTCCTATAACATTCCGGACTCGGTAGGATGTCAGCTTATGAATGCACTGAGTTTAAGTCCCCTGTAAGTACGGAACTCGGTACGAATGCCTACTTGAGTAGCACACATTTTACACACAGATTTTCGACGGTCTTGAAAATTCAAAAATATTTTATAGAAACCACGGACAAAAATACGCTTTCTTTCAGTCGCTTGATAGAAAACTACGTCAACATTGTATTGTATCGTCGAAAAAAGATATGATTATGTTTCAAAAAGTTTCCTAATTTCCGAATAATTTAGAGCCTTATCAGTCGTTACATTAACATTTAGTGATTTCAGCCTACAAAGTGCATGCGTTCCACGTAAAGAAAATCGCATATTCTTCCATACCTTTGAAAAGATACCATATAGAGTCCATAAAATTTTGTAGTGGATGCGGACCATGTTGTACATTTCATTAGGGTCAGTGTAAACGTACAGGTACGATGCTGCATGAATCGATTTTGCACGGTCTGAAAATATTTCCTAAGTAGAAACGCTTTTAAATCGTATTATACTCCTTCTTCGAGTATAGAACACAATGTTAACGTAGTTGTCTATCAAGTGACTGAAAGAAAGCATATTTCTGTCCGTGGTTTCTATAAAATATATTTGAATTTTCAAGACCGTCGAAAATCTATGTGTAAAATGTGTCCTACTCAAGTAGTCATTCTTACCGAGTTCGGTACTTACAGGGGACTAAAACCCAGTGGATTCAAAGACTGACATCCCAGCGAGTCCGAAATGCCATAGGATTATGTTGCATGATAATCAATTTTACAATCGCGCCTAAGAATCCTTCCCAATCGAAAACGCATTTCAGAATTGCAGCCAACATTTCATGAGATTGATCTCTCACTGAAAATATACAAGGGCGTTCAGTTTAAAAACGGAGATCCACCCTATGAGCTACAAGGTCTTTCGAAAAACATTTACTGTCATCTTAAATGAGCCCTGATGATGGACACTGTACGGCAAATTTCCTTTCGAAACTCTTCCTTCCAAAACAGTTTTTCGATTGAGAATTTCATCAGCTGTACTGTTCCTGCTCAGCCTACAATTCCGATTGCCTTCTAGTGTACCAATTATCTTTCCCTTTTTCGCTCCACTTCTTCCTGGGAGACAGTAAAAACTGGATCTAAAACGACTTCCTCTTCCTGAGCTAAACTCTTTGTGCGTCTAAAAGACCTCCAGAAATTGGGTTTGCGTGATAACATGAAGGCAGTAAACCATCCAATAAAAACGGAAACTGTCAGACTAACTGACCCACTTGTTGGCCAGCCCCTATTCTTCTCATTCCTCTTGTTCTTTTTATTCGTCCTCTGGCGAAATTTAGAAGATCTCAAAACACTTCACCAGCCAGCGAAACCGCAGTGCTTCATGCTGATTTATACGCAAATTCACTAAGTCAGATTTTGACTTCTATTACAACCGAATCACATTGATTACTTGAGTAACTTCTTCTGCTCGTCGAGTGCCTTCTTTCTACTGACGGTGTCTGTAGTGAATGCTGCAACTGCGGGGTCTAGCAATGGTTGCTTTTTGCTTAAATTTTGTTCTTCTTAGCGTGAAGTTGTTTTAAATGATCCTGAGAGTCTTAGTACCATGAAAAGGTTTTATAGTCGAAAAAATTCCTTGCCCTTTTGTTTGATATAAAAGGAGACGGCTTATCTCGAATGATGTTGTTCTGCTTGTTCACCTAGAGGATTAGGCAAGAGCTTTCTTGTGTACACACGGTATTTCCTGATTACTTCCTGTTCGGTGCTGTTGATCGCGACATGCGTATGAAAAATTGGCAGTGCAGTTCTTGCGATTGGATTGACTCTTGCATTGCAGATTGTTTTTCTTGAACAAAACTGAATTTTAGAGTTGCGAAAACTCCCATTGTAATTTTCAAAAGGCAATTTGGCGAGCATATGTCTGCTGTCGGCAAATTCTCTTCAGGCCTGTACACTTATATGGCTATTGAAGTAATGACTTAAAAGATACGGGCAAGTAAATAACTAATTGTTTACTTCAATAGTGATATAAAGGTACAGGCCTGAAAAGAAGTTATCGAAAGCAGACGTACGCTCGCCAAATTGCCTTTTGGGAAAATACTGAATTTATCCATTCTGGTAATCATATACGTGACGACAGTTCGATCGTCGACTGCGTCGTTGTCCAACGTGTGTTCCAAAGCGTGTTGGGCACAGGGATGGGGACTTGCGTGTGAATTAGTTTATAGCAGCAGTAGTAGGCTTGTGCTGCGTTTTCTGCACTTACTACTCCTCTCCCACATGGGGCCGGTGTCATGACGGAGTCCAGAAGACCGGAAACGGAATCGGACGTCGGTTGTTGGCGAGGCGTTGATCCGCGCCTAGGCGCGCCAGCACATTCCCCATATGTAGCGTTTGTTATGTGTGCGCACTCCCAACAACGTCTGCCGTGGTCTAGTGCATCTTCCGCGTGGCCAGTTTTAGAGATCACCTAAATCACATATCGATCGGTCTACACAACTATTAATCTTATGCGTAAGCGAGCACCTGCTGGCCAATTAGGGGAGGTTGGCTATTAGACGTTCTAAGCCAGTGCTCACGCCCTAGGGGCAACCGCGGGGGAACGGATAATAGTGCAGCCCACAGGGAGGACGGGCTAATAGCCGCTTGGGGGCCAAGTCAGCGGGGCGCTGATCCGTAAATCGACACGTTGTTCTACTCCTGCATACCATGCACTACGCGTTAGGCCAAATGACATATTCTTATTTGCTCGAGGAGAGATGAGAACCCAGATGCGGGCAGCATATCTGTAACTGTCACCCTGTAAAGGGGGGGAACGTGAATATTCATGGGTATGCGGTAGCATGGCGAATGCATCCTATAAATACCGCAGTTTCCTTTGCATGAACAACCCGTATCTGCTTTCGTCTCTGATGATGGGTTTAAGCAGGAATCCGAATCGTCAGGCGAATAAAGCTCTTGTCGCAGTGACTGCGTCGCCTTCTTGTCACCCGAATGTTTTTAATGATGATTTCCACTGCATGAGTACAAAATCCTAGACGGATGCAATGAGGGTTCCGGCGATTTCTTACTCTTCTTCCGCTTTGCGACAAAAACCTGAGATTCGAAAGTCTGTTCTTCTCTACAATGAACTTGAGATATTTTAATTTGTTATCTTACTCTCTCACCTTTTCGCCTCATGCTGGTGACCTAAGATCACTTAGCGACCGTTAATATGTCCTATATGCCGGTGGCATTGCGACAGGTCATTCTGGAAAAATGGTGTTAATTGGTGGCTCCAAACGGAAGATTTGCGGAGTGCCTCAACATAATCAACGGACAACGGACGTTTTAGGAACCAGAAATTAATCCGGTATTATTTTAGGCTGTGGTCATCTCACACTCTCTTATCATCTTTGTTGTCATTCTCTTGTGCAGTCTTTCGTAGTTGCTTCATGATAAATCGTTTATCAATAAGTAAACGAGCTTCCCCCTTAGATGCCTACAACCACAGTCCAGCGCCATTCAGGCGTCTGCACTTTCTTTCTTGTGTTTCACCGTTATCCTGACACTGAACAATATTATCAAATCCAACTTGTCACGAATCAGATGCACAGTAGATGAATTACCCCGAGAAATATTAACTGAAGTCCTGAAATGCTTTTCCAATTCGGAAAAATCATTTATGCAAGATTTAAAGATGAATGCTGTTGCAGTAAAATTTCAAGATATTCCAGTCATACCAGGATGCCGGCTTTCGAACAAGCGTTTTCAGACTGTCAGCAAAAACCGCACTCCAAATTATATGCAAATATATGTAGCACACATTTTGCTCTTTTTTTATTGTCCTAATAGATGGTGGGAATGAGTAGGACGAAGAAGGGGGAGATAATAGGCATCCGAAATTTTAGGCTGAGCAGAAACAGTACAACCGACGGAATCCTTGATCGAACAACTATTTTGGAGAGAAGAGTTTCAAAAGGACATTTATCGTACAGTGTCCATCATCAGGGCTCATTTAAGATGACAGTAAATGTTTTTCGAAAGACCTTGTAGCTCATAGGGTGGATCTCCGTTTTTAAACTGAACGCCCTTGTATATTTTCAGTGAGAGATCAATCTCATGAAATGTTGGCTGCAATTCTGAAATGCGTTTTCGATTGGGAAGGATTCTTAGGCGCGATTGTAAAATTGATTATCATGCAACATAATCCTATGGCATTTCGGACTCGCTAGGATGTCAGTCTTTGAATCCACTGGGTTTTAGTCCCCTGTAAGTACCGAACTCGGTAAGAATGACTACTTGAGTAGGACACATTTTACACATAGATTTTCGACGGTCTTGAAAATTCAAATATATTTTATAGAAACCACGGACAGAAATATGCTTTCTTTCAGTCACTTGATAGACAACTACGTTAACATTGTGTTCTATACTCGAAGAAGGAGTATAATACGATTTAAAAGCGTTTCTACTTAGGAAATATTTTCAGACCGTGCAAAATCGATTCATGCAGCATCGTACCTGTACGTTTACACTGACCCTCATGAAATGTACAACATGGTCCTCATCTACTGCAAAATTTTATGGACTCTATATGGTATCTTTTTAAAGGCATGGAAGAATATGTGATTGTCTTTACGCGGAATGCATGCACCTTGCAGGCTGAAATCACTAAACGCTAGTGCAATGACTGATAAGGCTCTAAATTATTCGGAAATTAGGTAAATTTTTTAAAACCTAATTTTACTCCTTCTTGGAATATAAAGTACAATGTTGACGTATTTTTCTACCAAGCGACTGAAAGAAAGCATACTTTTGTTCGTCGTTTTTATAAACTATATTTGAATTTGAAAGACCATCGAAAATCAATGAGAAAAAATGTATGGTACTTAAGTAGTCACTCAACATTATTAAATGCAGAAAAAATAATAGGACATCCCAGATTCCAATGGGCGCGGCCAGAGCCTGCACATGGGTATGTCAACACATCGGAAATCTTCACCTTTGCTTTATCTTTGTTATTGGTGCGCATTCTCGACAACGCCTGCCGACCTCCGGTCTCGACCCTGCGCGTCTACAGCGTGTCCCCACACAGGCCCTACGCAACACATGAACCTAATCCCACAACACGCGCGAAAACGACACCTTTAAACGACGCACCAAACATCACTCCCTCAAAAAGCGTGCGGGTGTCCTGCCAAGGTTGCACGTAAGTACATGCACATCGCACGTGGAAAGCATGTTCCCCTTTCAGCCTGTTGCCCGATAAAGAAACGAAGTCCTGCGTGACGCGCGCAGATAGGCCGTGCTGCCCTGTCAGTCATTGCGTCCAATCTCATCACGAGGATTCTGACAGGCTCGGTCAGTCGACTGGTGCCTGGGAGAGAGAGGACAGAGTGAGCGAGGCTGGCCCTAAGGAATTCATCCACACGGAAAATCGGCACACTCTTCGCCACGATAAAACTGGCACGTCCGAATCTATCGTGAAGCGTAAGAGGTCATGTCGTGGGCGACTGGCAATTGACGGGATAACTCGAACCTTCTCAGGTCTGAGAACCAGGATATGATGGCTCCTTGTTAATGTGGCCGGTAGGGGTCTGTTAAGCTCTTCTGGTCCCAAGTCTAAGCGCAATGTAGCTACTGGAAGTAAGGTGACCCGAAGGAGAATGCTGAGATTGTTTATGAGAATGTGGCCAGAGTTTAAACAGAAAAGGGCAAACTGATGTTTCGGTTTAGGGTCTGGGTTAGTGTCAGGCTGAGGACTGAGTCTATAGCTAGGGTTTGTGTTAAGTTTAAGGGTTTCGGTTAAAGTCAGAGTTTGGATTGCGGTTCAGATTCACGTTTAGTGTTGAGTTTTTGGTTGGGAATGGTGCTGGAGTTAGGGTAGAGTTGCGGTCAGGGTTATGGTCAAGGTTGGGGTTAGGGTTAGGATCTGGGTCAGGACCAAGGTTAGGCTAAGATTTTTTGGTTGATTTAGGGCTAGGTTAGTGTTAAGTTTAGGATTAGCGTAAGGTTTATAATTACGTTAAAGGCCGGGTTTGCTTTTGCGATTACGGCTAGGTTTACGGTTAGGTTTGGGGCATTGCTGGCCTGCGTGTATTTTCAGTCAGGTCTTTTGTGGGGATTCTAGTCTTCCTTCAGTCTCTCGGGAGATTTCACATGCATCAGGCTGCCTTTTCCCTTTTGCCTGGGCTGTTTTCTCCACTAACGATTTCATCATCCCCCTTCGGCTTACTTTACTTTCAATGCCCACATTGTGCTTAGACTCGGGATCAAGACAGCGTAATCGCCCCTTTCCATATGCCCTTTATGACATTATCACGCATGTGAGATTCGAGCTAACCTTATGGGCAGCCTGTTAAAGTTAATGGGAAATCATGCCGTTACTAACACCTGTAAAGGACTGTTGTGATTTGTCAATCACTGTTACCACGCCCAAGCCTTGTCTCCGCCTCGTCAAGGCGGATGAGTGAGGAGAGCGCTAGATGCTGCGTAAGTCGGTCCGCTATAAGCTAATAGTTGAGCACGTGCCATCGAGCGGACGGTGGAGGTCGTCGTTTGCGACAGTCATATATGCAATATGTGGCCCAACCCATGAAATGTGATGACAGGAGTCTTGATGACCAGGTGGTCGGGCACCGAAAAGCTCGTCTTTTATGTGTATTCGGCTACTCCGTTCCGAACCATGTCCATTTTGTATGCAGAATGCGCTTCTACGTAATTTTATCAGGTTTATGTTTGTAAATCTGCGTTTTCATCGACGTTACTTTACATACGGACAATATCCTACATAAATGGCTGACCTAGACTATCTTGGCGTATTTATGCGAACATTACTATGATGAGGATGATTTAAATGTGAGAGATTCACTAAATTCAAAAGGCAATTTGGCGAGCATACGTTTGCTTTCGATAAATTCTCTTCAGGCCTGTACATTTATATGGCTATTGAAGTAATGAATGCACAAGATACGGGTAGACAGGGGAGGGTAGGGGAGGGGGAGGGTGAGACACCATAATTCCAGTCGGCGCCTTGTCGCATTTTAAAACTGATTTTTCGTTCCGCGTAAACCAAATGAAGCTCTCTGTCCGGGTGATTGAAGATATTGCGTAAATTTTGGCAAATTTCACCTATCGTATATTTTTCCTAGGGCATATTTTTTTTGAGACACACACATATATGCAAAAACTTTTGTGTTGACGATTACGCTGGTCAGTTCCACTTAAATTTGTCGGTTGATGACCCGCCTATCAACGTGTGAACATATGGAAACTTTTGCCTAAACGACGCTCTTATCGGCGATATCAAGCAAAATTCTGTCTGTCTTATTGAAACAAGCCTCGACCCATTCAAATGTATGGGGAATACCACGAATCCTCGAAAAAACGTCTTCGACAGCCGCTCATAATGTAGGCTGTCTGCAAACCGTCTTACCTGAAATAACACTAATTCTTTAAGGATACGTAAACGCAAACTTGACTTAAACCTTGTTCTAAAACGTTCTTCTATCTGCGCTGTCATATTTTCTCATTTTTTGCGTAGGCAAGCATTCCGTGAATCTAAGACTGAAGATTCCACAACTACAACCATTTTTGACATTTTCGGCATTTTTCGCTTTTTTAAAAATTGGCACTTCTGAGCAGCATAACATCGCCTTTAATAGTTCATGTTTTGAATTCCTCTTATGTTGGCAATTGTCAACATGAGTATTGGGTCCACGAATTGGGGCCAGTTTGCCTGTGAATGGATATCATCCGTAAATTTCGACATCTTTCATGAGTTAGGTAACGAACAGTATTAATAAAGACTAAACCTATAGTCAGCGCCAAAGCGTGCCGCCACACCGCCACGTACGGCAGCTCAAAAATTCGTGCCTTACCCTGATCTGGTTCCCGTGTCCGCTCACTGTAACTCCCATGAGGGCCATTGCAGGGGACAGACCCCAAAGCTATCCACGCGCAAGCACAGCTCATTCCACCGCTTATAGTTTAATTCGTCCTCTTTTTCAGATAGAGGATTAACGGAAATTGATACTTCGCGCAACAAAGTCAATCAGTCTTGAAGGGTGTCACCTTTCAGACTTTTATATGCCAGACGTCATGCGGTGTGTTTGAAAACAGGGTTTGGCTAAACTTATGGCTGAAGCTCTGACAGCTTTAGTGATTTAAAAAAGATATGGAGAAACGGCAAACGCTCATTGCTCACGTAATAAAACGCTCGTTCACCGAATTGTGTATGTGTTCTTGCATCTACCTTGGCCTGTTGATGTTAGGTAGTTCCATTTTTGGGTTTCAGGCATTTTAAATGTGAATGCAAGACAGCGGCTCAGAAGTTTCCAAGTTATGCCCAATTTTTCCGAAAATTGTAGGATTAGACTAAGCATTTGTTTATAGGAGTGTCCTGGTGTCAACAAAACAGATATGCTGAAAATGACGAATTCAACCAGACGTTTATGACTCGGCCGATGGTGCGCTGGCCAGGTCCGTTTTATCGTGCGCAATGATAATTATCTGGATTTTCTAAATAATTCTGCTAAATTAGTCTAATTATTACTATCCACATAATAAAATTGTTTTATCATTATTCAATTTATCTGTTCCATATCTAGCAAAATACATTCACACGATGTGTACATTTTCATCTTATCATGAAACTTGTCTAACTGCTTATATGGCTGTGCTAACTAGGAAGTATAATGTTTCTTTTTGAATTGCCTGGTATGCTTAATCCAGTAACAGGCCTGTGTTCTTTTATTTACCAATAATACAGAGCAAAACGTTAAAACTCTGCCATTGAGATGAAAGAAACATAGAGCCGGCTTTGCGATGTCAACGTCATAAAAAGAAGCACTCCACAATCATCACGGGTTAAAATCTACGCACACCGAACCTAATAGTTGTGTACGGTAATTTGTTGTGCATGGTCCAAATAAATAATTTATAATAATTTATTTTGACACATCTTTGAAACCTCGGGAAACTCAGTGGAATTCGAACCCACAAAAGCAAGGTGAAGGCTTGGCGATGGCCAACTCTCTAGGCATGTCTGGGTCTAATTACCCACTCAGCCTACTGCAGCGTATTGAATTCACCAAATCTGATGCATTGCGCTGATTGCCCAAGCAGGAATTCCCTAATAATGATATGACTACCAGACTCATATTGGCTGCACTCAAGTCCTTGCCTTGCTGTCGAGGTTTCGAACCCCACCGTAGCCGCCAACGTTTTTACAAGTGGTCAACCCCATCTGTCCAACTGGTTAAGTTATGTATAATTACATTTCAATTGTGGGTAGTTGAGTGCTGAGGAGAAAAGTGTATTCGTGGCAATGGAATGCTGTGTGACAAGTAAATTTTTTGTAATGTAATTTTCAAAAGACGCATCTCATTGGCCTTAGAGGCTGGTCGAACTGAGTTTCAGCTGGCCCAGTTATCTAATCCGTTTCTCACTGCTGAGAGACCTCCGGTCCTATTTTGAAGGATCTGAAGACCTTCAATTTTGATTTGTAATTACGATTAATTGGTGTTTTGGCAGATTACCATGACTCGTTTGACCCAGTTGTGCAAAGTCGGCTACCTCGGTGGGATTTGAGCACGAGACAGCCAGTGTAGGGCTTGACCACAGACATCGCCAAGTAATTAAATGAGCACGGTAGTCGTTCGGTGCGTTTTAGATTGATTGCTAAGAAAATGCTGCTTAGACAGTTGGCTTACAATGACAAAATTGGTGGATTGCATGCCATCTGAGCTAGAAGTTGCCCTGGTCCTCTCATAGTTTCATCTTCGGCTGATTTCATTTACTTTTGGACAACTAATTACACATCGGATGCTCAGAAGTTCCACCACCAACTTCTTTGGAGGTGAACAGCATCACAGTTGATGCTCGTACACTTCAGACTGGCGCCCAGATACGTCGGTGATGCACTTTTATTTGAAGCATATAAACCAACTGGAAATTATCCTATACACGCATGGAGTACACTCAAACTAGCAAAGTGGAGAAGAAGCACAGGGGAAACGGGCAAAGACTGCGCCAACTAACGAGGGTTTTAATCGACTAATCAGGATAAAGGATTCCTCTCATTCTAGTCTTTAAGCCCCCTGTATATGTAAAGTAGCAAATTGGGAAAGCAGCTGCATTCACTGCATTAAAGAATTCTCGGTCGGAGACACCTGCCTCTCTCTAAATCCCAGGAGGATATTTAATTCCCCGTTCTAGCTTTAATCCCTACCTTAACACTGACTTTTATGAGGTTAACTCCGATCCCCTAACCCTCATAATTCAAACATTAATCCCCACACTGAAATTAAGGACAAGCACACCTGTAATACGGGGGATCCGTAATCCCTTGGCCAACAAATCTTTTCTGAAGTTCAACTTAAAGCATATTTCTACCCGCAGGATATTTTAAAGGCTATCCCAACTCCCAAGAATACTCACCGTCTGTAATGAAATTGCGGATTTTGTTTAACGAAACGTTGATTCCTGAACGACGTTTCTCCTGATGAGCTTGCTTGAAACTGTGTAGAATAAATACGGAATGGCAACTTTGTCCAAAAAAGGGAATTTAAAAAGGATGGAACGACGGGTGGCTCAGAAAGATCTCTAAACTTGTCACATGGGAGGGTTGTCAAATTAAGAAGTGACGTGTGCCAACCGATTGACTTCTAGCAAACCTTCAAGCACTGACCTTGAACACATTAAAATGTCCTCAGAACTGGTGTACGCGTCTACCAAGCAAAAGCAGAGATTGTCTTTTTGTCCATGAGCCTTCCTGAACTTCAATCTTTTACATCATAAATCCTACCCAGCTTATTGCAAGTGTCACACTGAGTTCTACGAGTGTCACACACACCTGCATTGAGCAGGATTGATCAGGGTCTTATATAAACGAGGGATTGTCAGGGAAACCACAGTAAAATGGAGTCGTCGCTGCTGAATTTAAGTCCTGCAAAGATGACCGACTTACTCCCTCAGTTGACAGCCTTTCAAGCCGCGAAGTGTGGCGCATTGTGACAGATTTAAACGCTTCAAATGTATTACGGTGATTTTGGGCGCTTAGGGTTCTTTGGACGGAGTATTCAGTGCCGACCTCAGTCTCTCATCCCTCTGCCATGCAGTAGTCCGTAGTCTGAAGCGGTCAGAACTCTGATGCTGGAATTGGGTGGAGGTGGATGGCTCGGCGCCAGTCTGTACCTAGGCGTGCTACTATACGCTTCCATGTAGGCCATTTTTTATTGGATGTGTGGCTTCTGCATCGTCTGGTTAACACGTGTCGTATGCCAATCTTGTCCTCGTTTCGTTCCGGCGCATCCCTCTCGTTGTTTGTATCAGTAGCACACGCACAGAGGATATTTTAACTCGAATTTCTCTAAAGGATCATTTTCAAAGGTTATTCTATTTGCGCTGTTATATTTATGCTGTGCCTTGCACAAACATATTTAGTGTACATATAAAACCTGAAGAGCAATCTGGAGTAGTGTATCGCATTCCGTGTCAAAATTGTCCTTGTAATTACACAGGACAGACTGGACGCATGCTCGGATCGCGCATACATGAACATAAGCTGGCTGTGCGGCGAGCCGACGCATTGTCACAAGTGGCCGCCCACACCTACGAAATGGGTCACGAGTTTGACTTCGCAGCCACCAAAATAGTCGCCCACGCCGGAAACAAAACAGGCCGAGAATTGATTGAAGCCTGGGCCTCGGATGAGAACTCGGTCAATCGATTTATCGATCTGGCGCCGGCGTACAGAGCCCTTCGTAGTCACCTCCAGTCGTGCGACGTCGGTCGATGATTGGGTCTACGTGCCTTATAACTGCCGCTTGTCCTGTTTCTGCCACTACCTCTGACGATGGACTCCTGTACGAGTCTGAAAGCTCAGGATAATAAACGAATTGTTCCGGTGCTCGATTCTTCTTCTTCTTCAAACATATAAAACTGGCAATTACGCAGCGAGAGCCATTTTTGTAGATTCTAAATTTCCCACTTCTCTGAAAAATTGATATTTCTAAAAGAAGTAACATTACCCCTAATATGCCTTCTATATTTTTAATTCTCTTGAACTTATTTATTAACATAGATATTGGGCTCGCGTACTAGTTTCGATTTGCGAGTGACTAACAGCCATTCATAAATATAGACACCATTCATGAGTTGGGTAACGTACTGCATGCATATTCGAGAGCAAGCATCCCAAGAAATATAAGGGAAAATTGAATGTGTTCTTTGGGAAAAGACACCTATAAGTTTTAATCATTTGGTCTATTCTGCATCTGACGACTTGGAGATTCGGCGTCGAAAGAACATATCCGACTTTTGACATGCATATGTAAGCTGCGTTTTAGTCCTTCTAGGTGCAGCACGTCCGTATGTTACTTTAAAATTATTTTACAATCGCGTGGTCATTATCTGGCACATTTAAAACAATAGGACGTGACTTAAAATGAAGACGTGAACAGGACACTCCTGGGTGGGTGTGGATGAATTTAAAATATTTGTGAGGAAACTTCCTGATCCCTCCTCTTCTGAAAACAAAGGATGTTAGTTTTCTTCTGTCAAATGAGCAAAACGTCCCTTCTATATCACAATCGTTTGTACGCAACGCTTTTAGTTAAATAAATGCACGCACAACCCAAGGCGTTCTTGTAGAAGTCAACCGTCCTCTGATATGAAGTATCCTTTCTAAACCGTCGACGAAATACTGTCCGAGTACTCAACCGACACAAAATTTGTCCCTTGGGGCAGCTTGAATCAATAGTCGTTTTTACTACCGGTCTCACAACCTTACTGCTCCTATAGCCCCACTCACGAGGATCAATCAAGGACACCGGATACAGCAAAGCGTTCACGGAAATGACAAGGTCGCCGTCAAAAACAACGATCTTCAAAATCGCCCAAAATAATGGGGAAAATTGATGGGCTGACGTTCCTGTTGGTAGAGTGGACATTTGTCTTCGTCACCGGGTTTGCCATTTATATCCCACTTCTCGCGTGGGTGGCCAGTAGCTCAGACTGCAACCTGCGATCTCCCTACCCAGGAAGGAAGGCAAGACCATATGCACGCAAAGCAGTCGAAACGGAATGGAACAACTCTCAGTTGGTTGAGCAAATTCTCGCTTATCGTCAAACGGTCAGTCGGCAGTAATACTGTATTCCATATTTTCTTGTGGCGGACACTTAAACGTCGGAGAAGCAAAAAGGCTCGCTTGGACAGCAAATTTACGTGCTAATTTTGGGAATTTGTGTTTTTGTCAAGAATGCTGTATTTTCGTAGAACTCATGATTAATTTTAACGTCTTTCTGCGTTTTGACATTTGTTTCCTAAGCACGTGCTTTGCTTAAGATAACGCTTGCATTTTCTGATACTTGCCATTTCCTAAAAATTCGGTGAAATTGATTACCGTATGCATCTGGTGCCTGCTCTTCCATACTTTGACTGCCGTTTCGTTTCCTATCTGGATTTCCTTATGGAGTTTCTGAGTCACTGTTAGAATCTCATGTCCACCTGAGTTGGATAACCAGAGGTTGCACGTTAGTTAGATCAAAAATGCCTCCTTATGTCTCAGGAAGGTGACTGGAGGACTTAGATTTCTATTAATTGTCCGAGCAAACATTGAACAGTGTGCTAATGACTGTCTAAAATGCCAAAACTCAAAAATGTCCCTCCATTTTCGTATTCTTCATCAACAACGATTTGCTCACTTCGACTTCACAAACATTGTATTCTGAGGAGCCAGCTCTCGTAAGTCAAAAACTCCAGCACATAACCGCTCCGTTACTTGGGGTTGGTCGACAGCCAATCTATCGTTTGACTTTCATTGTCACGGAGGGGTACAAGCGAAAGTTCGACGAAAGCATTTCTGCAAAAATTGTATGCGATGAACGCAAACATCTAAGCATAATCTGCTTATACCTAGCTAGTCACATCCATGCACCCGCATCGCCATGGCCTGCTAAAATTTTGTAAAGGAAATCAAGCTATTTGGACGGTTAAATTTGCGCTCCCAGGACATGAACAGGTAGAGAATTGGGTGACGAAATCTTGGCTTCTATGGTTAAGAGAACCTATGGTGTCATTGAAGTGCTCCCTGGCAGCCGTCTCGCCCTTCCCCGCCTCCGGTCTTCTTGGCTTTTTCTTGACATCGGTTGCAGGCGGGATGTGGGGAAGAGAGAGTGCGGTAGATGCTGCGCAAGTCTGATATCACTGTAAACTAATTAGCGCGCAAGACACCGGGTCTGCTGCACCTTGCTGTGTTGCACACAGTGGGCATCGTCGGAATCGACGGTTGAACTGTCGGAAGCCGTCTATTCGCTGGTAACGGCAGATTCCTTCCACTCTAGTCAGGCGATGGACGCTGTTATATCGCCACGTAAAACGCATCTCGCTATCTAGCTTCTGGTGGCTTGATTTTCGACACATAGACTGTGCTATGTTGTCTATGCAGGGGCTGCAAATATTCCGTTTTTGTGTTTTTAAGAGCATTCCTTTTAGCCGGTGACGTGACGTTTCGCATAAGTTATCACTAAAACCCGTGTGGTGATCCGAGAGGGGCGCTTTGCATGTAATAGGGACAGACTGCCCTGGAGGGGCAGGGGTATGTGCGACCGGAGGGGTCCACGGTATCGCCTTGCTTTGAACTGCAGGTGACTCCCCGAGTGAGAGCGGGGAGGCGCGGAGGTCAACCGGTGCGCCGACACAGCACCACTTGTGACTTTTTCGAGGGTGATCAGCTTGTCGGAGTGGTGGTCGGTCATGACTGACGGTGTTATCGCTGCGAGCGGTTGTGCGCCGGACTCAGACCGCAGCTGCCCAAGTTGTCGAAAGAATTTTCTAATCTCCTTTTCCCCACCGCGGCCAGCAGATGCTCGGACAACCTGTATCCCGATAGCCGTCAGTCATCTCACCATAGCTGCCGTTCACTTTCCCAGTTATAATTATTCGGCTTTTGAGTTAAGCGACCGTTTTGGTTGGGATCTGAATATATGACTCGCAGACTTAAGACAACCTAAGAGATCCAGCTTCCTCCCTCTGCTCCTGATCGAAGCTGTGGAGCAACCGCATGTCTGATTTCTGGCAAGCGAAAGACCCCATTAAACTGCTTTTCCAGTTAGACCAAATTACTACTGAAATTCTCGAATATATGTTAGGAAAGTTTGTGCCGCACTTGAATGATATGAACAGGCTCCCAGTCGTCACTTGAAGTTAGGCTTCAGACTCGAACAGCCAATCTTGTATGAAAATGAAACCTTTGATTTAGAGCCCTGGTTTTAAATGAGTGCATAGTGGTTTTATAAAGAGATAAGGCGTTTCCGGAATACATTTCCCGGACACTACCGTGTCAGTCCAGGTAGTAAAATTTCGAATTCAACTTGATCAATTTTTTTAAAACAGCCTATGGAAAACAGAAAGCGCAATATAGGCGAATACATTCATCGCAAAATGTGGCACAGTCACCAGCCTCCCTGATTCACCCCCGGCCCCCCACCTCTGAACTACTGCAATTACGCCGGATAGATGTGCTGTACAGTCGATTTTTTCTAGTCTCCAACTCGCAAGACAAGGCAATTTCAGTTTGAGAGGCTTTCCTGCCGTCTAGCTTAGCTCAAAATTCACGAGCTTGGACGTATACTAAGATAGACTGTATTACCCTGTCTGACAGCAGACCCCAAGTTTCAACTTCGTCCTGTGATCCACAAGACATCAAAATTACAGAAATTACGGATTATAAAATGAGTAGGCCGCATTATTAGAACGTAAACTATATGAAACTCCATCAGGCCCAACGCAAAACATACGAGATTCCGGACACGTGTTTATTAGGTTTCCTGCTACTGGCTGATGCAGAGAAGAGAAATTTGGCTAGTGATTAAGTCTCTCAGCTTCACAATGTCTTTCCGCGCCATCCCAGTTATCAGCTCTAAACTTCAGTCCATTTTTCACAGTTAGTCACCCTGGGTGTTAACGCGCCGCATTTAGTGCCCAAAACAGTAGCAAGTTCGAGATCACCGCTATTACAGGCGGTCTTTCAGTAAATTCCAGGCGATAGACAGAGTTCGAATTGGGGTTTGGTTATGGTTAGAGTTAGGACACAGAAGCAGCTGCTCCCCGAAACTTAGCGCGAGATCAGCTGTAGTATCAGAAACCCTTAGTCCCATGTCAAACCGGTTAAACGAATGCACAAATAACTCACAAGCTTCGAACTTCCTAAAGAAGTTGACCATGTAATTTATGACTGAACATACCTTCACTTCATTGTCCTTGCAACTTGACTGGCACAAATAGTAGAACATCTTGAAAAGTTCTTCAGTCTCAAGTTGATTAAAAGTAACGTTCACCGGTAGGACCTGAACGGAGGATAGGTTCAAGGTTGCCCTTTACCTTTATATAGTGTGAAGTTGACGAGCGGCATTGACGTGATGCTATGTACTCCTAATCAAGGTCATCGGGGCATGAGCCTGAGTCCGATGAGTGGCCAGCTATACGTGATCAAAAGTTGGCGCGTGGCTAACTGGTTATGATGACTAAGGCAGAGATGAAATTTTCAGTCACCCTGCCTCCTTCCCATAGACTGAAGAGGAGATAGCACTAATATGCGGCAACAAATCTATGGGAATTCCAAACTTCTCTGACCGGTTGCTTTGGGGTTCCGTTTCGAGATTTATAAACTGCAACAAGTTACGATAAAAGTATGCAATACCGTTTCATCATTAAAAAATTTAAGAGTCGCGGGGAAGAACTTTTAGATTTTGGTATGTGGGGTATGAAGACCGATGTGGGGCAGGTTAATTTCTCATTGCAAAGTAACCAATTCTCAAATGGGTCATCCAGGCATTTGTAGCAACATCCCTGAGTATGAGGAGTGTTTTTCGGTCTACGGGAGCAGCAAGTGAATTGTATCTTATTAGGACAAGATAAATGCTTAGAATTTCGCGCGTTTCTGCGTTCCGTATCCCTGCGTTGGCAACATTTTGTCTCCCCAACCAGATATTCAGAGGTGTGCCCCAGACGGTGCATAAATTCGGACCTAGTAGGCACGCTATAGCGTGGTTTAATGCATAATTTTCGCCCTCAGGTTCGCTTGGTAAATTTGGCATCACACGCTATCTTCAAGTCTAACCATCGTTCATTTGCGATATTGCAGTCCTGCTCGTTTCCTGCTCCCCCCACCTCCCCTTCGCCGACAGGCATTACTGGTTTACTAGATCTAACAACATAAAATATTAATCAGAATTCAAGCCTCAACTGCGCTGTTCGAGACGAGTCCTTGGGCATGCCTCCTTCGTCGAATTCGTGCACTTAGGTTGTAACGAAAAGGCCAGTTCGGCGGTCAACGAAAACAATTCAACACAGGCCAATTCGAAAAAGCAGAACTGAAATTACCATGCCCAGTAAAGTTAACGCCACCCTTGTCCGGAAAGGCCTGGAATTTCAGCTGACTCAAATGCAGTGTAGCATTCCTGCTGCCATGGAGAAAAATCTCCCAGCCGGTGGAACACGAATAGTAATTGCCCGCACGGACAAGCACATTTTTGGGGGTCTCGCCTGAAACAGAGAAATAGCCTGTGATCAGAGGAAAATAACCAAAAAGTTAAAGTCCACAAAGGCCTAAATTACAAGCTCTTTGGATGGCAAAAGGTGTGGGCAAAGGAAAGCAAAGAAACGCGTTTGCAGCAAAATCTAAAATAACAAAATATTGAAAAGAAATAAGAGTAAAAAAACGAGAGTTTGTTATTTCTTATCGGATGGCAGGAAATTTCCATCAAAAGTGCATTTTAGGTCAATTCCTTTTGTATTTTCTCTCCATAGCGTACAGTTTATCCACCTAATCAGGGATATTTTTGAATAAACTTATGAATAAATGTCGTGCAGTTAAATGTGTGAATTTTCGAAACAATCTTCGGTTGGCCACGGAAATATGGGCTCTCTTATTAGAAGCCGTCTTGCCCCAGGTTCCGGAGGAGTTACAGTTGGTGATAGGTTTAGGGTTACGATTAGAGCACATGAATATATTTCTGTGAGGCCACCTGCAGTATATGGGCCCTTATTGTCCTGTTCGACTGTTTTGTCGTACACACATGGTTAAAAACGCCTGAGGAAATAACAACATTAACTATGCTAACTGGAAACTGGTACATTTGCCTGTAAGACAGATGCGGTAGAACGTTCAATGCATAAGGAATTGCAGAAGCAAAGATTGTTCAAAATTCCCTTAAGTGTCCTTTATATCTCTTGGGCTCTAATAACCTGAGAACGCTATATTACTCGAACGAAAACAATTGACCACCGTCTTAAATTATTTATTAGCCGCCACATTGCAATGATTAGTTTTCACTTAGCAGATGTGTCCGTCTTAACTCGTGGATTTTGTTGACAATGAAGGGAAATTAAAATCAACAGTACAGGGTGGAAATAGATTCTTAGTCGATCAGTTTGCCTTCAAAGCTGTCATTAATTCAGGCACGCCGGGATGCGGGCCTTAAAATACGCTTCTTTTCGACTATCTGCAAAAACCACACTAGGTAAAAAGTAATTACTTAAGAAGCGTGCATTTTTTCTACTAATTTTTAATGCCTTATAAACTCAAACATATTTTGCAGTGAGCATGCACACAAATATTATTCATTATTCTAATTTGGTAGAAAATCGCGTGTTCTTTAAGGTTCATTTTTCAGGAAAGAATATTTTAGACTTTAAAAATTCCGTAATTAGGAGGTTTGATTGGACCGTGAAAAAGCACTTGAGTCGAGTCAGATAAATCCACATATTAATGTCTTTTATGAAACACACAAAAAAGACCACGTTTCTTATGCAGTCTAGAGGTTCTTATGAATATCTGCCTTCCAGCACCGGGGATTTGTTTATTTTGCAACATGGGAAGTAAACAGCCTGACGACTTGAAATCCCTAACGTAAATGCGACGGCAGATCGGGTTCAAAATTATTGGAGACTGAAAAAAGTCTTAAATCTGAGGGATATTCCTTTTACGAGTCTGAACCCTGAAGGTGGCCTGACTGCCCATCAAACGGGGACGAGGACCAATATTTATATGCATTTTGTTATAAAAAATGGGTTAATAATGACATCTAAAATCAATAAAAAATGCAGACTACTTAAGTAATCATTTTTGCAAAGCTCGGGTTTTGCCGGCAACTGGAAGATCATTAAATATGCGGCTGTCTGATGGGTCCGGAACGCATTGGGACTAGACTGACTACTAATAAATAGTTATCCCAGCTTAGGTAGTCTGTCTCAACCATAAAAATATTACAGAATTTCGGTAAACATTAAATGAGATCGGCCACTGACTGGATACGCAAAATGGTGTTATTACGAGTCCACAAAAAATTACGGAAGTGATTCACAGTTTCATAGTTTGTTCCCCTAAGAAATTGGATGCATAACGAGGCAAGCACAAACTTGTAAACTGTATCCATACCCTTCTATCAGAAGAGGAGGCTATCTTCGATTCTGTCTCACAAAACTTAAAATACGAGGGGAGTGGAGTTTAATGCTCAAATTTCAGGCGCATGTTTATAATACTTACCAAGTGTAATCTTATAGAAGAGGTCGCAACGCTTTATGTCCAATATCAACTGTATTTATAGAGATCGATAAAAGAATACTCATTTGTGATCGTAAGTCAGAAAATACCCAGATAATGCAGATGATTTCATTAGACCAATTGACGGATGGCTATGCGGCGGATAATCAGTTTAATTTTAATAGGGAAAATCCCAATGCGACAAGCATTACTACATCAGAGCTGTAGGTAAAAGCAATTTGTCCAAATGGTATCATAAGCCAAATTATCTTCTATCATCCTTTGATGTGTACTTTGTGGCTTGTAACGGTGCGCTCAAGGTGCGACGCACTATAACCGCAACAGTCCTACCGTCACGTGCGACGATGTCCACCTAGCGCTCTATAGTCTAGCAAGTGCAGGACGATGAATTGCTCGTAACTTAGTCTTATAGTGATAGCAGACCTGTTCAAAATGGTGACACGACTAAGGCGTGACGATCGGGGACGGACTCAGTGGTTGACAAAATTGAAGCGTCCGACAACACGTGCCACACACTGCCTAGTTCCCGCGAAGTGTACCGAATTTTCAGAAAAAGCTGAGGCTTGAACACCACCTAAATGGGCATGTCACGAGGGCCATATTTAGAAGGGGCCACCAGGCCTATCTCTGCGTCCTGAAATAACTTAATTACCCAGTCAGTTAGCAACCTTTCAAGCCACGATTTTCAGCTCTTCGTGGCGATTTCACAACGCGTTAGGATTTTTACAATGAGAACTGAGCAGATGGCCGCAGGAGAAGATTCCATAAGGTTCACATCTCTCTTCCCACTCTCATGCATCAGTCCGAGCCGGTGTGTGGGCCATGTGAGAAGACACGAGTAAAAGCAAGTGGCCGCGCCCACGCATTCCAACACCCGCCCCCCCCCCTTCTCCCTCGATCTGTGGCACTATTTATGGGATGCGCAGACTCAGAACAGCCTGGCAACCGCGTGCCACGGGCCACAATCTGACCGCAGTTTTTTGGCCCAGCGCCTCTACAGCTCCGTCTGCTTTTTGGGGCCCCAGAGCACCTGCCGCAGTCGTCCGCGGAACAGTTTGTGCTCTTACACAGAAACTTTGCCATGGTGAAGGTACGACTGGCAAGCAGCGTGACGGATGACAACTAGGCAGACAACTGGAGTACTTCCAAGTTGCGTCTGGCTTTTTGGTTTTTAAACTTTAGAGACGGACGAGTGCGTCGGACAGGATCAGGGCGGCTGCTGCAGCCTGCATCGGTTTGCGTCCGCGTTCTCACCCGAGGCGGGACTTCGAGAGGTGGACAACCCCACCTTGGTGAGAGCGCACAACCTCAGCAACGTGGGCGGTCAACTCGCCCACCTTCGCCAGGCTCCGACCAGTCGCACACGTAGTGCAGATTTTTTGCCAATTTAGGGCTCATTAAAGTTTTGCTTGAAGGCGTTGCAGAATCCTTCCTCTTACAGGCATGTTTCGAGGCATAACGGTCACATGGCCATTTACAGTAGATGTGCTAACTCATGTAATATCAACCAAAATTTCGAAATGCGTTCTCGTTTCGAAAAGATAAATTAGGTAATGTTGTAAACCTAATCATAATGCAGCATAAATCTATAATGATCCAGTTACCTCAGAGTGTCGGCTTTCGAAAGAACTTATTTTCGGCTGCATGCAAGATCTATACTCTGCAAAAATGACTACTTAATTAGCATGCAATTTTATCATTGATTTTCGATGCCCTTGAAAATGCAATTATATCTCATGAAAAACATGCATAAAAATATTCATTCTTTTAATTATTCGATAGAAAATCATGTCTTCTTCCAATTTCATACTCAAAAGAAGAGTATAATTCGGTTTTAAAAAAATTTCCAATTGTGAGATTTTTAATACCTTTAAAAAGCCGCTCATGAAACGTCATGTATCTGCATTTACGAATGTGGCTTGTAAAGGTAACAATATTGCTCAAACCCACTGCTTACTTTTATGAACCTCATATGGTCTCCCCTTAACACCGTAGAGAAATGCATAGTTTTCTGTACACGGAAAATATACAGCTTGTAGTTTTGAAACCCTGAATGGAAGTGTAACAGCAGGTCGGGTTCAAAATTATTCGGGAATTAGAAAAGGTTTTTTTTAAACCGAATTATACTCTTCTGTTGAGTATGAAATTGGAAGAAGACGTGATTTTCTACCGAGAAAGTAAACGAATGAATATTTTTATGCATGCTTTCCATGAAATAAAATTGAATTTTCAAGGTCATCGAAAATCAATGAGAAAATTGCATGCTATATAAATAGTCATTTTTTGCAGAGTATAAATCTTGTATGCAACCGAAAATAAGTTTTTTTCGAAAGCCGACACACTGAGGTAACTGAATCATTATATATTTATTCTACGTCATGATTAGTTTTACAACACTACTTAATTTATCTTTTCGAAACGAGAACGCATTTCGAAATTTTGGTTGATATTTCACGAGTTAACACATCTACTGTACGTTCTTAAAGATTCTCAAAAGTCGAGCTAGGGCTCCGTTGCGACCGCGAATATCCTGACAGTGCGCTCACTGATGTAGTTACAGGACCTGCTGTCTTGAGATTAAATGTACACTCCTCGCAGGCAGTCGCGTGGTGACCAGACATATGCACTGAATGAAGTTCTGACAAAGACTAAGGGGCCCGGGATTGCCATTTCTGGTTTAATCGCTGCTGTCTGCCAGCCCTACCCAACCCCGCCTTCGCAAGACCAAGGATTTGCGTTGGTTTCTTTGGTTATTTAGAGTTAATTAGTCCAACGCCCCGTCCATTGAGACACAGGTCTGCTGTGCTATCAACTGCGGATGAAAACATTGATTTACAACCAGATTACGTGAAAAGCTCGTCTCGTTATACCTTAGGGTTTGGCCTAGGTTACGTATTATAATCTGCGAACTTAAATAAGTTATGGATTTGTTTTAGCAGCCAACACTAAGTTTGAGTGAGACTTTAAACCTCTTATGATTACCAGGATACCATTCCCCTGGTATCGCAGACAGCTGTAAGAGTATGCCCGCGAAAACGGAATACAACTGGACATTAAGTTTAATCATCTGCCATAAACTAGTCAGTTTTCAAGAAAAATGTTTAAACTTCGATGTTGTAGTGGATGTATTCCTGGCAATTAGACTGATGGTTAGACGTTCGACTAATGCTGATCAGAACAACAACTTCCTTATTGGATCACCCGAAATTCTAACTCGGGATATTTGTTCATTGAGTGAGTCACTCTACCATTGGGCCAGGGGCCCGCTGTCTTTCCGGTTGTAATCGGAAATACTAATTGAGGTAGATGAGCACTTACCAATCGGGTTGCGAAATACGCTGACCCGGTGTACCTTGGAGCTCAAATTAGAGTCCTCCAAAATAGTCGCACATTGAATAGTAGTATAGGTAGATAGGGTGGTGTCGACAAAGACAAGGGGACTGGAATGCCAATTTCTGACTTATTATCCGCCATCATCCAGCCATACCCAACCCCAGATTTGGCAGCCCTTGAGTCTCGATTCTGCGACCAGTTTATTAGAAGATCAACACCCTAAGCATTAAGTTAAAGGCCCGTTGTGTTGTTGGTTGTTATCGGACACATTAATGCTGGAAGCGGGGTGCTAATCGATCACTCTGCAAGACGCTCGTCCCGCCGTGACCTGGAGGTCAATATCGCGCCCAACCAGAAGCTGCACAACGGCTAACAATAACAGCAGAATAATAGTACCGGCAGCGACAAAGCCATTTCCACCTCAGTAACCATCATAAGCCACTCATATTGAAGCTAAGGTCTTGAAACTGCTAGTACACGTAATACGTGGCAGTATCCAGTTATCAGAGAGCAGGCGGAAAATAAAGTTTACGGCAGGTTCGCTTCTCATGATACATTAACGGAATTCCGAAAGGATTGGTTCAGTTGGTTTGTAAAATTTGGCATTATGCACTATGGTCGCAAAATATGTTATTCATACGAAAGTGACGGTTTGACATGCTCGTTTTGCTGGACGCTTGCAGTACTTATGTATGCTGAGTACAATTTTTAAGAAGTACAAATTCTCGCTTTAATTTTCGAAGTTTTTTAACTAGAGAAACATTTCATGAAAATCAAATGCAAGCACTTTTGCACCATTTATTTAATAAATTACGGTTTTTCAAAATTTCCTTTCGAAGAAACAACGAACTTGGTTTTAAAAATACTCCATATTACAAAATTTTCGAGACTGTGGGATTTTCTGACCGGGTAGCATCGCGGCTGCCCGTTTACTAATGTCCGGTCCGCGCTACTGTACAATTAAATATGCGCTAAATGGCACCATCTTATTATCATAGAAGAATGTATGATTATTTTTAAATCATGGTGTCCATGTGCTACTTTGAAAATCAATGTTATACACAAATCGCCAATTTCGGAGCAAACTCTTTTGAAAAATGGATTTTTCAAAAACTAAGAGATATTTTCTCTTCCGAAAGATACTTTGAGGCTGACACCTATCACGGAATTAATGCAAGAAATATCACTTTTTGCATGTATTCTGTAAACTATGTCTGGATTTATATGGGCGTCGAAAATCAATGGAGCCCTTTCACACTGCCTAAGCAGGCAGTTTACCAAGTGCGGTCTTTTAGGCGGCCGGCGAAACGTGCATTCAAAGGCTGGCCTTCTGGTTTTACTGTCATGGTTTGAGATTATGCAGCACGACACGCAATGTTACAACCCCAACTTGAAAAGTATTTTTTAACCAAAAGCACGTTTTAGAATTTCGACTGAAAGTAAAAGTTGATCGCTGCTGATGAATTATCACTCCGGTCGCTGTTGATGACAATGGGCATTTTAATCATAAATGACATGTTCCTACAGTAGGTGGGCTAACTAATAAAACGTCAACTGAAAGTCCGAAATGCGTATTCGTTTCGAAAGGACTAACCAGGTAGGGTTAAAAACTAAACATTGTGCGGTATAATTCTATAATAATTCAGTTATCTAAAGATGTCAGCTTTCAAACGAACTTCATTTCGCCTGCATGCAAAACCATACTTTGTAAAAAATGTCTACTCAAAATGACATGAATTTTTCCCATTGATTTTCGATGCCCTAACAAATTCAATTATATCTTATGGAAAATATGCGAAAGCATATTCACTCTTGCGCTTATTCGGGAGACAAATACGTCTTCTTCCGATTTTCTACTCGAATGGAGGGTATAATTCTGTTTTCAGATCTTTTCTAATTGCCGAATAATTTTGAACCCGACTTGCCGTTGCACCTGCATTCAGGGCTTCCAAACTACATGCCGTATATATTCCGTGTACGAAAAACCATATATTTCTCTACGGTATTAAGAGCAGATCATATGGCGTTCATAAAATTTAGCAGTGAATTTAAGCAACATTGTTAAATTTACGAGTTACATTGGTAAATGCAGAGACATGGCGTTTTATAAACGGGCATTTCACGGTATCAAAAAATCTCACAATAAGACACTTTAAATCTGAATTATACCCTTCCTTCGAGTATAAAATTGGAAGGAGACGTAACTTTCTGCCGAATGAATATAAGAGTGAAGATTCTTATGCATCCTTTCCCTGAAGTATCACTGAATGCTTAGGGGCATTGAAAATTAGTGAAAAGAATACATGCTCCTCAAGTAGTCATTTTGTGCAGAGTATAGTTTCTGCATGCAGCCGAAAAAAAGTTCGTTGGAAAGTCGACATCTTTAGATAACCGAATTATTATAAAACTGTGCTGTACAATGTTTAGTTTTTAACCCTACCTAATTAGTCTTTTCGAAACAAAAGCGCATTTCGGAATTTCGGTTGAGATTTCATGAGTTAGCCTGTTTACTGGGTGTATAAATGACCAATAAATCTTGTGGCCGGGTCTCAAACTAGCGTGGTGGAAGAGTAGTGACGTTTTTGGGAGAGAAGTACACTTGAAAGTCTTGTTTGTCCTCAGACGGTGGTCTTGACAGCGGACGCTGGTTAAATGAACACACGACAAAAGCGTGTAAAAACACCTGATTTGATGTGCGTACTGTCCAATGTCGGATTTCGAAAAGCTATTTGCGAAGCTGGTAACTGAGCGAATCGCATTGTGAAACCGTGGAATCCGGTTGAAAGGTGTTCATCAAGATATTCCTTCCTCGCGAACGGGTTCACCTACTGAACGCCAACTAGCAGATCGGCAATGTTGTGGGCTCGCTTTGCATGAAAATGTGGCAAAAAATACACAGTCGAGCACGCCTGATACCAAACTTCTGGATGGGCAGTTATTTTCGTGCAATAACAAGCGTTTGGGCAGATCCACGACATTCCAGGCGTCAAATGTTCTAGCAAACGCGCAAACAAACGAGGGACGATTTCTGACCTGATCTATTAAAAACGGCGAAGGAAGGTGTATGTCCATTATAGTCGACATTTACGAAGACACGTTGCACATTGCGTAAAAATCGTCGAATGCTGTTTTAGATTACGTAATATACGACTGGATGCTGACGACCCTAAGTGAATCCTCCCGGTCATTTTGAAGATCCTACGTGGAAAACGGTCCCTGCTTGCATGAAGTTTTATCTCTACTCATTAGTGTTCGTATGTAATTAATTGATGTTTTAAAATATATTTACAAATGAGTAACTTATTCTGCCGATTTACAAATCCTTTCTTTTCGAAAGGTTTCTGATCCCAAACAAAGACGTTCTCTCCAAATCCAACTGATTTCGCACGAAAATAATCCAACCACAAAAACTTTTAATCAAAGACGCGCACAGTGCAATCTTTGGACCCCTATGTAAGACCTGGCACGTCCTACAGATTTATTCAAAATCTGTAAATAACGCGACATCCAAACTGAGCAGTTCAAAAAGAATTATTAGATTGTTCTTTTGGGAACACGCATACAACGAAAATTTACAATTCGAGATCTAATTTCAAACGCTTTATGAGTACCGACTGCATTTCAGAAGTTACGCAATCTCCTTGTGCGCGTCTGTTTTACTCTGCCTCTGATGATGTGCTAAATAACTGAACTGAAATCATTATTGCAAAATCTGGACACTTTCACCGCAAAACCGTTCAGTTCGAGCTCTGTAGAGATAGGTGTCTACTCTCGTCTAAACATAAGCACCAGCACGACTCCATGGGACTTTTATGATTATTCTATCTCCCATCATACAGCCCTGTCTATCGCGTGATTGCTAGTATAGTTTACAATTCTGCTACTGCGGTGGCTCACAATGTGCGCAGTATGATTCCTATCTACTGTGTCATTTTCTAAACGGAGTTTTGGAGATAATTCGCGGAATATAGTCAGAGAATCGTGGCGGAAGGCTAAAGCGTAGGATGTTTTTCCAGTTATAGTCACACGACATTTTTTTACAATTGGAATGTCCGCCTCTTTCAAGCGTATATTACGGCATAATGCAAATCAGTGAATTACACATGCAAGGAGCTGGGGTTATTTCAGATGTGGGCATAGGAAAGACATCAAATGGAACAAATGTAGCAAAAAAACTGCTATTTGTATTACTACATAAAAGGAGCTGTTATGCAATGCATATGGTTAGTCTAAAACCGACGCCGAAATACATTAGAAGCGGCCAGAACCATAGGCGGGGCAAAGTGACGTTGGCACTCGATTATTGTAATTATGAAGCAAGAAATCAGACAAGTTTATACGCCTTTACCAATGGGTCATCTATGAGTACATTAAGACGCACTCTGTAATAACCTACACGGAATACTACCCTTAAATTGGCTGACTGCATGACAATTAACTGGCAAAGTCAACTCGTTAGAGTAAAATATTGGATGCGTTTGGACTAAAACTTCACTCAGCGGTATATTTATCGAAAGCTCCGATTTACTGGCTTGTTATGAGAATCAATAGAGCCTAATTCGTACACATCTCAGTGTTAATTTGGATAAAGGGCTCATAAAGTTTATGAAGTACGGCAGAATCCTGCCTTGACAAACGAACCATGAAACCTTGTATCCCGCGTTACAGGCCTCGAGTTCAAGAGGCTCCAAAATGAAAAATGATCTCCTAATGAAAATATTCGATGATTCAGAACGGTAAGGTTACAGGTGCCGGCGTGTTTAGCAGTATGCTTAATGAAAGGGAGCATATATTTTCCGTTTCGATAAAAAGACGATTTGACATTAGTGGATCCCATTACCACCTATGCTCAGTTAAAATTGTCTGTAAGACACTAGGATATGAAGTCCTACTTCCGGGGGCCTGGCGCTAATTTCGAGGGGAATTACGGTTAGCATCAAAGTTTGGTTTAAAGTTAGAGTTTGTGTTAGTGGTTAAAGATAGTGTCAGGTTCATTACACGGAAGTGGTTATCCCTCCTGAAATTTCACTTAAGGTCACCTGTGTTAGTAAGGCTTGTCTCCATCCCCAGGTAATAAGAAATCTTCGAATTGGAACAAAAGATAGTTTTTACAGTAAAACTGGAAATTACAATTTGCATTTAGCAATTTTCTACTTTTGTTAGCCTGAGGCTATGCCTCTTGGTTTTTACTGTCTCAGGATAAGGTAGTTGACCTTTCCCTTAAACATACAGTATGTGGACTAAATTATGAAATGCCAACCGAAATTCCGAAATGTGTTTTCCTTTCGAAAAGATTAATTAAGTAGGGTTGTAAAACTAATCATCGTGCAGCGTAATTCTATAATAATTCAATTATCTCAGGATGCCCGCTTTCCAACGAACTTCTTTCCAGCAGCAGGCAGAAACTATACTTTGTAGAAAATTATTACTTAGGTAGCATGTATTTTTTTCATTACTTTTCGATGCCCTTAAAACTTCAATCATATTTCATAGAAAACATGCATGGAAATATCCATTTTTTTGCTTATTCGGTAGGCAATTACGTCTTCTTCAAATTTTACACTCGAAGGAGGGGTACAATTGGGTTTTGAAAGTTTCTAATTTTGAGATTTTTTAATACCGCGAAATGGCCGCACTTAAAACGTCATGTCTCTGCATTTACCAATGTGGCTTGTAAAGTGACCATTATGCCTCAAATCCACTGTTAAATTTTATGAACGCCATATGATCTGCTCTTAATACCGCAGAGAAACATATGGTTTTTCGCACACGGAAAATATACGGCCTGTAGTTTGAAAGCCCTTAATGCAGGCGTAACGGCAAGTCAGGTTCAAATTATTCGGCAATTAGAAAAGATTTGAGAACCGAATTATACCCTCCATTCGAGTACAAAATTGGAAGAAAACGTAATTTTCTACCGAATGAGCAAAAGAATGAATATTTCTATGCATGCTCTCTATGAAGCAGGATTGAAATTTTAAGGGCATCGAAAAGTAATGAGAAAAATACATGCTAATTAAGTAATCATTTTTACAAGGTATAGTTTCTGCATGCAACCGAAAAGAATTTCGTTCGAGAGCCGACATCCTTAGGTAACTGAATTATTATTGAATAATGCTGTACGATGATGAATTTTACAATCCTCCTTAATTATTCTTTTCGAAACGAAATACATTTCGGAATTTCGGTTGACATTTCATGATTCAGCCCACCAAATCTACGCTTCTTTCAAGCTTATGTTTCGGCACAAATCTAACGGCATAATGCAAATTCTTATAAAACAGGCTTTAGAAATCTTTTTTCAATATCTATGGGCATAGATTTAATCTATCCATGCATAAAAAGTCGGACTGAGAAACGCATCATTTAGGTAGGGAATGCGTCCTGACTACAAGTTGCGTGGGCGTCTGAAAGGAGGTTCACTCATGGCCAAAATTCTGTCATGTGAGAATGGACTTGAGGGCGTATGCCTTGTTAATGAGTGTTGACTGCTCGTTCAAGTAAAATTTTCTGTTTGAAAGCTCATCGCAAGTTTTCCGTCAATCTTTTCGAATTTCGGCACACACTATACCAATGGAGTGGTTATTTTGACCGTAGTATACTTTCAGGCAGTTTTATCTTCATGTATGCTGTTCAGATTGTAAAGCTCTTACCCAAAAAACCAAGCCCGCAGAAGCCTACGGGGACGAAAAAATCGCCATTGTTTGTTTGATAATAACATGCAGTTATTATTTAGCTAAAAAGACTCACTGCACAATGTCAGCGTGCAATAAGGCAGTTGTTAGTAGACTATTGTAAGACCTCTTCGACTGAAAAATGACGCATGCACGGTTAAACTATTCATGGGATTCAAAAAAACTGATCATATTCCGAAAACGTGTGGCAATTGCGCAAATTCTGTGATTAGACAAAACAGAGTGTTCGAAAACAAGCGTTTATGCCTACCGTCCAGGATTTTTAAGACAATTCGGTAACACTCGTAATCAAAAAAAAACTTCACGAAATAATGGTTTACTGGGAGGTGAGTTTGAGAACCATCTGTAGACGAATGCAACCGACTGTATCAAACCAAGGCTGCATAGCACGGACATCGTGGTATCCCCATAAAATCAGCAATATATTACAAGTTTTAATAAAAAGAAGCATTTTGCACTTTGTACTGCAAAACGAAGACGACAACACATCATAAGTAGGCCGAAGTGAAATATTGGCCTGGCCTACAGTCCAACATCAAAAGCAGTGGAATCTCAAAGAAGGATTTGGAGACTTCAAATGGTTTTTGAAGGAAGAAAATAGCCCACCTTCGGGCAGTGATTGCCGAAGAATGTCTTCTGTTTTAGTGGTGGCATGCAGATACGTATTCTGATGCACCCTTATCCTGTTTGTTCGAAGTGACCCATTACTTCACCATTCGTGTGTTGTAAGGGCGAAGAATTATGGATATTTCTAGTTTTTGACACACAACGGTTTGACTTCGCCTTTGGATTGGCCTACCTCTATTTTAAATAGTTTAAGTTCGACGCAGTGTGATTGCCAAACGCTTCCTGAAACAATTCCACGCATATCGTGCTGCAGACTAGAGAAATCGTCCAAAAAACGCGTTTTTAAAGTGCAAGTGCCTTTTATGCTTTCGCGAAATGCATAGGTTGCCTGCATTTTGCTCTGTCATTTATGTAAGAAATCGTGTTTGTCGGTAGACTCGCCCATATGAGATGCTCTTTCTAAAACGTTTAGCACGTTGGTGAGCAAATGGACGTTTTTTTAAAAACGGCTGCATTCGCTGCTACTGCAAGAACTTGAGTAAATATTTCTGGGCTTTTTGCATAGAAAAAAACAGGACAGAAAAACAATTCCCTAGGAATCTAAAATGAAATGTACTGTGGATGATGGAGATATATGCCTCGATGTCTCCTTTCCGCCCGGATGACCTCTCCGAACACCAACAAGCAAGACATCTGCCCCACCTGAAGAACGAGACTAGGGAGAGCTATCCCACAAGATTTGCATTTCTGGCTGTCTTATTCTTCTACCTGGCATTCTTCTTATAGTGCTATTTTTAGTGTCATATTGGATATTTACTGAGGTTTGGACAATTCGAAGCTCTTGCCAATTAATAATTTTTTTCATTTCGACACATATGTACGTTGGTTTTGTAATTAACTATGTTAACTTCAAAGACACTTTCAGAACCAAGAAACGCATTACCAGTCCGTTTTTAAAATTCGCATAATTGCGTATTAGGTCAGGCTACATAATCCAAAGTTTAATTATTCCCTTTAGATACATGAAATAACTACTCCTTTAAATCCATGCAGAAGTACTACCTTCCAGTCTCCTATAATTAAAAATGCCCTAAATGACAGTCTAGAGGGAAAGTTCTACTGAAGTGCACGAGCGAATCTTCTCAACTAAGCATTAAATACCTAACATTTAGGGTCAAACGCCAAACTAACAGTTCTTTTTGATTTGTAGGAAGCACATAAGCAGGATTCTAGGACTACATATCGTGTGGTACAATCTAAAAATATTTTAGTCACGCTGAAATTTCGGCATATACGTGGGTTTTTTTGGCAGCCTGTAGAAGTACGACCTTTTATTAACGTCCTTGAAGTTCAAAAACTTTTTGTAGAAGGCGCAAACAAAGAGTTTTCCTTCTGGTGCTACTTTGGTAGCGCAACAAATCGTCATCAAACTGTGCATATGAATAAACTGTATTTTTTGGATTTTTGAAAGTTTTTGTGATTATAAGGTTATTTAAGCCCGCGATATGTCCACTTAGATAGCACTGTGCCAAATCTATACCAAAATTTAATCGGTCACATCTTTTATTCTTTAATGAAATAGAGAGGTTTATGGTTTTCGATGCATGAGAAGTTCGCAGCGTGTATTTTATAATCACTGAATGCAAATAAAACGGCAGATCTGATCCCAGATTTTTCCAGAATTGTAAATAATATAAAATGGAGAGCTAGTCTTGGTGGGAGTTTATAAGTTGACAGAAACATGATTTTCAACCAAACAAGTAACAAAAAACCTTTTTGTACATTATCTACAAAAAAATGTTTGCATATCTTAGCGCATCGGAAATCTTTTGGAAAATTCGTACCATCTAAGTAGTCGTCTTTATTGGGTGCGGTTTTTGCAGGCGGCCGAAACCAAGCCATTCATGAGATAATTCAATTAATGTAAAAAAACTGTAAACTTGACGTTTGACCCTAAATATTAGGTATTTAATGCTCAATAAAATAGTTTTTGCTTGTACGGTTAAGTGAACCGTTCCCACCCAAAGGCATTTTAGTGCATACTGACTATTGGAAACTCGACGATAGTACGTACGGACGGGTAGCTGTGATAATTTTTCATGTGTCAGAAGCGGTAATTGACTGCTGCATTATCTAATCTGACTTAGATGAGTTTTGTAAACGGACTAGTGATACCTAATAAAAAACCTATTCTTAATCACATTCTCTTGTAAAAATGGCGTTTGGGTAAGCGTTAACATGTTAAAAAATGATGAAATTACAAAAATATGAAGTATTTAAAGTTGAACGAATACGCATTATACCAGCAAGAAGAAAACAATAAAAAGGCATCAGTTAGGAGAGGAGAACAACACTTCAGAGGGTCCGAAACACTCAGCTCTGCCGCGAAGCTTCAAGCCGGCATATCGTCCGCATTTATGATTTCTGGGCGTGCTACACAGCGGCAATCAAAATTTACTGCCCAGATTTGCATCGCGTGTCAGGTAGTGCGATTATGCATCGGCTCCCTTTTTTGGTTTAGTGTATATACATATATGCAGATGAAAATTATCTGGATTGTTAGTCGCCGTCGTCGTCGGCCAGCCAGCCTCACATAACACCACGTTTATGGGGCGCTTAAGGTTCGAACTCTTGTTCGTTTTGGTTATTAAGCTCTAGAAGGTCAATGTCTCTGTCGGTTATCTCATGCTGCCTATAGAGCTAGTCGCTGCGTGACTGCCGCAAAGCGCGCGGGGCGAGTAAGACTCGTAACCCGATCGACAAGCGATCGATCACAACGAAACGGACAACGGGCTTGTGGCTCAATTGAAATGTCGTTGGACTTGACAATGCCCGACGACTAATGAACGCATATGCGAAATTCGGAGACGACAAATATAAGTCTACAGTGAGTGACCTAACTCATGAAATGTTGGCTGAAATTCTGAAATGCGTTTTCGATTAGGAAGGATTACTTGGTCGCGGTTGTGAAACAGACTATCTTGCGGCATACTCTTATAACATTTCGGACTCAGCAGGATGTCGGCTTTTAAATGCATTTCTTTTCAATCTCCTGTAGAAAGCCCGCTCGGTAAAAAAAATGACTACTTAAGTAGCATGCATTTTTCCCGTTGATTTCCGATGGTCTGGCAAATTCAAATATATTTTATAGAAACCATGAATAAAAATATGCTTTCTTTTAATCAGTCAATAGGCAATCACGTCTTCTTTATATTTTATACTTAAGGAAGGAGGATAATTAGGATTTAAAAAAGTTTTCCAATTGCCGAATAATTTGGAGCCTGACCATTCGTTGCATCAGCGCTTAGTAATTTCACTCTACAAGGTGCATGCGTTCCGCGTAAAGCCATATTTTTCTATGTCATTAAAGAGATATCATACAGAGTCCATAAAAGTTTGCAATGGATGCGGACCATGTTGTTCATTTCATGAAAAGCATTGGTAAACGGCCAGGTACGATGCTGTGTGAATTGACATTTCGCGGACTTAAAAAGTCCCATAATAAGAAATGTTTTTAACACCTAATTATACTCCTTCCTTAAGACAAAAATATAAAGAAGACGTGATTGCCTATTGATTGACTAAAAGAAAGCGTATTTTTATTTATGGTTTCTATAAAATATATTAGAATTTGCAAGAGCCATCGAAAATCAATCGAAAAAGTGCATGCTATTTAAGTAGTCATTTTTTACAGAGCGCGCTTTCTACAGGAGATTGAAAAAAAATGCATTTAAAAGCCGACATCCTGCTGAGTCCGAAATGTCATAAGAGTATGCCGCAAGATAGTCTGTTTTACAACCGCGACCAAGTAATCCTTCCTAATCGAAAACGCATTTCAGAATTTCAGCCAACATTTCATGAAATAGGTCACTCACTGTAAGTAAGCCAGGTTGGTGACGGCCGATAAGTCATATGCGATCATCCCAGTCACCTCTGTCTTTATCGGTAATCTCCTTCTACCTACACTAACGTTCGTTGTGAAGCTGATTATTGGGCTTTGGACGAAACAAAACGGGACAAGCATGTACAGTAACCCGATTGCTGAACGCACTTTCAACATGCAAAGGTAATGCCGTTTTTCTGATCCTAATTTCATTGTCACTTATTAAGTGTTTAAGTTTGACACCCTCGAATTGTGAGTATTTTCAAACTTTTAGGGCAGTTTTTTATGCTCTGGTGTGTACTTTGCTTCCTAGATATGGTCTGAAAAAATTCAAAATATAAAATTCGGAGGCAGTCACTCTCGTTATTGTATGATGTGTGAATTTCGAAAGGAGATCAACAAAAAACAGTCATTTAAACAATTTTTGGGGTCGTTATCCGTATGCTTTAAATGTTCGCAAATGCCAACGCTGGTTTGCAAAATTCCGATCCAGTAATTTTACCTCTCCGATAATTGCACTTGCGCGCAACCACTGAGGCAGATCCTCGTCATACAATAGGGGGATTAGCAGAAAAACCAAATGTGTTATGGTGTACTGTTCAGGAGGGACAGACAGTAATTCCTAAGCCGAAAGCAGGCCCATACTCCAAGAAAGTTCTGCTGTGTCTTTGGTTAAGTATGTCAGACATAATTCATCAGAAAGTGACAGCAGACATGTATTGTCAACAGGTAAAATGTTTGGACCATGTTGTTGCTGTTGTTAATGATCCAGCACTAATTCACAGAAAAGGTGTCATTCTGCTGTATGGTAACGTGAGCGCACTCAGCCCGACAGACTCGAGAGCAAGATTCGAGATTAAGGGAAGGAATTTTTGCCCTATTCATCAGATTGTGCGCCAAGTGAATGCCGTTTGATGATACTTCTCCTGGACGGAAACATTTTTGAAATATTGATTATCCCAAAACTAGGCTTTAGGGACTCTTTGCATCAAAACAAACTTAATTTTATAAGAATGGAAGCAGAACCTCAGTTTCAATATGGGAAACCACCTCTCACATAAAATGTATATATATATAGGCAGAATAACATTACCGACAAAGACAAGGGAGACGATCGGTGAGCGCCCCCTACCACTATATATATATATATATATATCAATCAGGAATGGACGCACACCGATCTATTGGCTTCACAAAGCAAACAAGCTCCGTATGTGTGGCAAAGGTCACGAACAGGCAACCAATTACCAGGCCGAAGTCGGCCAAGTCATAATAGCAGCGAGGAGGGACGAGGAGGGTCTCAGCTGCTGGTGGTCAGGGTTATGATTGGCTGAATGAAGGCAGAATAAGCCCGAAACAGTGCTGTATCAATCTACCCGCATTCTCTGTCGTCCCTCCTCGCTGCTATATATATGTATATAAATCTCAGTTTTCTAGCTTACATAGAAATTAATGAGCTCACTTTGAGTAAGTCATATGGAATAAGACTTTTTAAGCCCAGTTCCAAAATTGATATGAATATTTGAACCTAAATCCCTCAGCTTCAGGGGATAAACACATAATATTCGTAAGTAGTGATGGGGAAGTTAGAAGTTTGCGTGTTTCGCCTATTTCTGGTGAATGATGACACATGCGTATACTGTTAACTGCTTGATCGTGGTTCATGAATATTACGCGTATATTCCACGGCATTTGGCAGATTTCAACTAAAATATCCACGTCAACACTCGGGTTGGATCTCTACAATTTCGTTCAAAGCATTTAATTTAAGACAGTTGAGGTTTTAAGGCTGGAGTGTCAACCACAAAACACAACTAAAAGGCTGGAGGACCTATTGATAGGATGAAACCCTCGCAGCTACGCCATGCAAAGGTTACAATCGAATAGACATGTGTCGGGGCTTAAAGATAATATCCGAAATCTGAATATGAATGAACGTGTAAATAATATCTTTGACCCGTAGATGCCAACTGTTTCAAGGTAGCGCAATTATGAAATTTTGCATAAAAGACCACAGATTGGCTATCCGATTTCATTCAAAAAAACGAAATTTCTTCAGCTGAATACTATTTTTGATTTGGCGACCAATGCGGTATCACTATTTTCAAGCTTAATCCTCAACTATTTACTTGGACAAGCCAATTTCGCAACAGTTAACCATGCTAGGCAGTTTTTTGAGATACTGTACAAATCAACGAAAGGGATTTTCTTTAACCATAATTTCCTGTACATTCTGTTGAAAACCGCAGGGTGATTCTAACAAAATTGCTGCGAAGTATGAATTTGAGGCCATCAATTAAGTATGTAAACACCACTTTCGATTTTTAAATTTATCCACTAAATGTTCAAGTTATGTCCGTCCATTTCTTAGTAAACATTCTTCGTCTCGTCAAATGGCCGCCAGTCTTCCAGTTCACTTAGGGTCACAGAAGAGCGTTGCAGGCGGAAGGAAAAGTTAAGCTGGGAAGTTGACCTCACAGGACACTAGGTTTATGAGTGATCGTGTAAAATTTCATCTAGGGCGAAGATTGCTGAGAAATCACTACCATTCAAAAACGTTTCTCTTAGGAATATTGGTGAGTTATTACTGCGAGTGAAGATTCCCTGTTTTATGCAGGGAATTCCGATGGAAATTAAAATGCTAAGCTGTTTTCTAAAGCTTCGGGGTGATGATTCTCTTTATATGGTTCTCATCAGGTCACTGGACGTTAGTCGATTGTGGGACGCTGAGAAAATGGATATTAACCTAATCCTGGAAGGTTATCTTGCGGCTGGAAACAGATAGACTCTTATCATAATATATTTCTGGCCGTCAAGCGACTCCCTGCGAAGGCTGTACATTGGACATCAGGGCTCAATGGGAGTAACATGTCCCGTAAAAACTCCGTTCGCGAATGCATTTTAAGTAGTTAATAGTACTATGACCGCAACCGATAGGACACCGGTTAGTTGGTTAGGAACGTTGAACTTAACGCTCGATTGCCAAATGGCGGAGGTCCGGGGAGCAGGTGCGGAAAACTCCGGATTTTGTTGGGGCTGGCTGACGACGGATAATAAGCCAGAAATGTCCATCTCAGTCTCTCTTGTTTTTTGTCGCAACTTCTTTCGCCATACACTACTAGCCACTAAGCGGCAGCTTTACATTAGATCAGATCTATGAAAACATTTTCAGCATCATATGTATGCTCTTTGTACATTTAATTATGCATAATACAATACTTGTAGACAAACACATTCTTTGGGAAAAATAGAAAACTTTATAAGGTAGGGTTTCTACACTGGTTGACCAGTTCGTCGTCAGACTTGAGTAAGTACGCAGAAAAACAATTGACATTTCAAACAAGCTGAAAAAATCGGTATTCATTTGGCGTTTACGCCAGTGAGCGGCTGCCGTGCGCGTTATTTCGTATTGCTTGACTGGGGAATCAGTGTCGAAAATTTACCTGGCAGTTTTCTGCAAAGTTGCCTGCAAATTCTACTTCTTGGAATGCCTGCCTTACAATGATACAATATATAACTATGAGTTGAAAACGGGCATTCGACGAAATTCAATTGGGAAAATGGAGTTTTCCGAGAACAGAAAACTTTTTTGTGTAACTTTTCAAGGCTTTTCGGCCTCTCAATCTCCTAAGAACTTAATGTGCTAATCTGAATTAGGTTATTGGAGATAAACAATGACAGGGTAAACATTAGTCTACGGGTGCTATTGACCAGACAGTAAGGTTCATTCTGTGGGCCATCCACACACAGTTACTACCGCACACGTTGGTCAAGAGTATGACTGCTTGAAGGGAACAAAAAGTTTCGGTTTCCCGGCGCCTGCGTCAGATCTAGATAAATCTATTTCCTCCTGGAGGCTGCAATGAGCAGAATATTTATCACTCCTTTAACTTTGAAGACAAATAGGTGACTGGAAAAAACTGAACTGATCGAAAACATCACGCGTCGTTACGCATTAGGTGTCTGTTCCTGTCGAGAAGTTTTCTTTCAATACAAAAATTGTTGAGGTTTTCTAAGCGTTCCGGCTTTTGACATACGTGATATACAAAACATGAGACTTTGCAGGAAAAGGTACCGTCTCTGTTCGCTATCACCGCAGGGTGTGCGAACATCGAAGGCATGTAATTTAGGAACACCAACTTTCACACTACACTCAGGTGCATTAATAACAAAGAAACAAACAGTGGTATTCGTAGTAAACAAGGATGCTTTCTGCGGTTGGCATCTAACCTCCGTTTAGAACCTGCAGAGATTTCATCAGCGCCCCATGTCCACAAGTGTTAATGGAAGCCTGCAATATTTTTGATTGAGAATGATTTCTTAATGCTCATCCACTTATGCAGACATAAAAACTAATTATGCGTCACTGAGACTTCGGTATTTCCGATGCATACCCTGCCAGATGCTTCTCTGCAGTTCGAAATTCCCTTGGATAACACATCTGAGAATAGACAAGGCATTTACGAATGCCATCCTTTGACTCCTTTTTACAACATTAAGTGCGCACTTCGTATTTGGCGCTCTTTTTTACAAATTAATACAAGAGATTATCGTAGATCATTTAACAGAATGATACAATCAAATTCTAATTCATGACTTTATTATTTTAAATTAATGCTCCCCCTTACGCAAACGTTTAAATCTCACGGCTGTGTCTCGCAACTGCCAGAAAATGTTTTTAAAAGACCATACCATGAGAGCAGACTGAGTGCATCCCTTATAGGAAACAACATTGGGCGCTTAAATTACAGCCAACTGAAACATATTTGCTGCAGAAGTATGTCTATGTCGACAGTATTGAAAACTGAGTTCTGGTAAATCAATCGGGTCTTACTTGACTTGTCAGAAATGTTGGCGTAGAGGAACTCATCAGTGTTGTTATTCCAGACCGACAGTTCTCTCAAATTGTAGACTCCGTGTAGGCGATCGGGTTCTGCACCAACCATGCTGTACCCGTCAGCTGGATCGTTGACGAGTGGATCTTGCTCAAAGGTCCACCGAATGTGCAGGGTATAGTTGTTGCTTAACATGATGTCCATAAAAGTTCCATTTCGGACACTGCATTCACCCATAGCCTCCTGCTCTGCATGCAGATGTTCAGTTTGCAACTAAATACGAGTACGCTTACAGAGAAAACCAACTTACGGGTACTGAATCTGTTAGGATGAGAGTTGTATTTTTCGGAATTTCGAGGCCAGCGCATGGCGTTGAGTCGGTTGTCGACTTTACGAAGAAATTGACAACAGATATGTTGTAAGTGTCGGCCGTCCCACACCAAATTGTGGTAAAAAGAAGGGAGAGCAGAAGCATTTGAGGGCCATCTACTTGTCTAAAAAGTGAAATACACCATGATAAAACTAGCTAACGAAAAGTCTTTTTCGAAAGCTATGGCAGGTACTTTTTTCATGTGAGATGGTAATCAAAAAACGCGAAGGGTCTGTATGATAATATCGACTTATATTAATCTTTGTGGCGAAACAAAAGCAACATTCTTATTTGAGCCACAAAAATCAAAACAACACCTTATGGAATGACTAGGAAATTTCCGACACATTTCAGGTATCTACTATACTCCTTTTTCGTACAAAAATGAACGTCTTTTAGGAAAATTATCTTGCAATATCGACCGCATTATAAAAATGACTAGTGGAATAGACAAAGATACTGCATATACGGTACGAACCAAGTGACCAGAGCATTAAGTGAAATGAAGTTGGCAGTTGCAAATTCGTTAATGTTCCCATTCTGGTGAGCTTGTATGGGTAAAACTTCCCGGAATGATATCAGTGTGTCCCGATAATTTCGCTTTAAAACATTTTAAAAACATAATTTTGGATTAGAAACGTAATTTCACGTGAAAACGAAGAGATTAAACATTCCGATTTTCTTCGAATAAGTGAAAGACACCGAAAAAGTGCGATTCAGGACAATAAGTCGATAGCTTAAGGAATGATTTCGCAGTTATCATAGTTTGAGTTGTTTCAGATGTACAGTGCCAGTGATAATCAAAGTGCACCTGGAATGTATGAATAAATAAATATTACTCACACATGAGGCTTTGAATGTCAACTTTTGGAAAAAAAGAGTTCAGGTCAGTAAAAAAGGCTTTCACACAAAGTGGGTGACTATATGCTATTACCTTGAATTAAGTCGTTAGTCTGATTCTGAATTGTTACCGTCTTCGATAGCACAACACATTCAATGACAATGTAAACAGATGTGATCATTCAGCCTCCCTCTTTGAAACGTTCTCACGCGATCATAAATTCATTATTGTACTAAAGACTGAGAAGAGACAAAAAATGCCCACTCCAAGAAAGGTAAAGGCTCTTTTGCAAAATATTCTGGCAGACATATCTTGAAAGAAAGATGTGCATCAAGGTTTACAATCACCAACTTAGAGACAATTAACTTGCGAAGAAGTTTTCACAGAAGTTTTGATTCAAAAACATGTAGGTTGACAAAAACTAACTGCAACTGTAAAACAGAAATAAAATGAACACTTTAAAAATGTTTCTGGCGCACTTTTGATACTCCATGTGTGATAATGCGTCATCGCTTCTGTTGGCGCTCGTTATACAATCATGCATTATAAAACTAAGCGGCAATTAGAATTCATTCATATTAGCCCCCCAAATAAAATGCCACCCATTCTAGTTGCTGATTAACTGGCCTCAATATTGAGGAGAATTAAGTAACTAAAGACTTTACGATAATCGTGCCACTGGACATATGTTTTCAACTAGCAATATATATTTTTATAGTAGAAACTGCTTCCTAGGCTCCGAATTAAAGAAATTGTTGACTGAAAAGTTATAAACAACACCGTCAGAAATAATACCCGTAACGAAGGCGCATTAAGCATAAAACATCTGACCGGAGAGTGTGAGTCAAGTCTATAGTTTTGACGCACGTTTTTTAATCAGCGCCGAGAATGTGCAGAAGCACCATTAGTGTATCTGGCCTTATGAACCCAAGCATAATAGGTATTTTTGCGAACACTTAACATGTCGAAAGTGATTATCGCGCCGAATAAAATGCAGATCACCATATCAGCTTCTAAACAGTACATCCTTTCGGTGGCATTCCCTCTGACGTTTGGCAAAATGAAATAAAAGTCGCGCTGCCTTTGTGCAAATTACCGGATTTATTTAAAAGCACATCAGAAAATTTTCATCACGTAATCTATGCAAATTTATGCCCAATAAACTTGAAGTACGTTTAAGCTTCAAGCATATTTAAACTGAAATGAACTAAAAGGAATCTGAACGCGATTGAGCATGAAAATACTTTTCCTGTCGTGTGTTTATTAGTTGGAAAGTTTGTAGTCGTATTGGGACTTAGGTCTTTTGAAAGCTAATGAAAAAGCTACCAATGTTTAGGTTGCACAAGCTTTTGTAAAATTCACAAATAATGACTTATCGGTAATTTTTTCTTCGACAGTTTTTCCAATTACGGAAAAATAGAATCGGTTGTTTGTACATTGAACATCGGTTTTCGGCTACGCACACGTAGACTATCTGATTATAGTCCAAAAATAGAAACAATATCAGCAGCTAGATAGTTGTATTTCTGGTACCAAGACCAGCAGGAACAACAACCACGTTGATTTAATAATAGAATATGTGTTTTCAAAACATCAGTACGAATACAATTAGGTCCTCAATCTTGCCTTCTATCTTCTTCGCCTTCTTTTAAAGGTGATGAATATCACGGTATGGACATCGTATTAATCCTTCACCGCGGAAAATATAATGGTAGCAAAAGTTATTTTTTTCTTTCTTTACAATTCGCATGCAGTATTGGATTGTCAAAAGGCTGATGTTCAATCGCAGTCTAGTGCTCCCGTTGACAAATAAATATAATTCTGTGTTTTTCCATCGTATTTTTCCTAAGTTAGTAGCTTGCGCAGGCAAGTAAGACAAAGCCATTTACTGGAGATGTGAATGAGATAATGGTTTTCGACACGCCCGGGCGTACTGTGTTGGCCAAAACGGGTCTTGCAACTACATGCGAGTTGTTGTAAAACTCGGAGTCGCATTCGCCCCAGTCTTTCATATGTCGTAAAGTATAAACGCAAAAGATGCACCAACTCAGGCATCAAAGAGTGGTTATTAAGCAGTTTTGTAGGTATACTTTGGGCAGTGGTTTAGATTAAAGCCAGGAACAGTATTTATTGCAATAAATCATGATGAGCTATCCCAGGGAAAAATTATGTCACTTTAAATAGAGTTCGTTTTATATGACAGGTCACTCTTATGTTTAAATTAAAACGGTCTTTATGATGTCTCTCGAACTTCTTTTTCTGTCTTTTTTACGAACACAAACGCACCAGAAGGCGTACCGGCAGAGTCTGTTGTTACATGAACGGAAGAGTTTCCAAAAATACTCCCCGCAACGGAGCGCGGCGACGCTCACAAGTGACAATTCTTTCAAAGGGTGCTATTGGAAAAGCTCGTATTTATTTGGGTCTGATGGAGTCAATGATATCATCTGGCCATAATGCACCTAAGTTTAATATCTAGAAAAGCATTAAACAGTCTGTGCAGCAGCTACTGCTGTTCAAAACGTCGACTGTAGTGAGATTTTGGCCACTTAAGGGCATTTTATTGGTAAACAGTGTCTCCATATCAAAAGCTCACCAGTTGCAATCAGCATAACCACTCCCGATAATGCAGTCGATGCGCGTTCTTACGACCTCAATTATTTGGTGTAATAAAACAACGCCCATCAAACACTACTAGATAAACTTTCTCTTCATAAAGTCTTTATGAATCTAACTATATTTCGCTAATTATGACAAATATGTTTATAGGCGGTTTTCTCGTCCGCAACCATTAAGTCGGAGTAGCCAAAATCTTTATAAGAGGTGACATGGCAAATTCTCAATCAGCAGTTCTTCGTAGCGCTGATGTCCTCACACGCTTACACACATATTTCAGTGGTAAGAATACGTTGTTTGCAATAACTTCGTCTTTTTTACGCGTTCCTCACAACTCCCTCTTTTACTTGATGCTTATTTTGGGTCTCCTGATGGCATACATTTGTGCTCTTCGAGCTTTCACCTCTAATTCGCCGCAAATCAGAGTGCTGTGGCACTGGTATCATACCAAATTAAATTCTGCCATTTAGGATATTTACGAAGTTTTCTCTAGGGAAGACACTGTTTGCCCACACGCAGAAGATGGAGATAGAGAAAAGACAAATTAAAAATTACGATAGAGCACGCGGTCAGCAAACTGGTCCTGATTATTTGACAAAAAACATCAACGAAGTTCAAAAACAACCCCTCCCCGTTCCCGTGCCATTTCACAGGCCGCTGACGGGCCACAGCCCAAAATGACGGCCTCTGATCGCTGGATCAAGAGCTTTATTAGCCTGACGTTTCGTTTTCCTGCTCGAACCCATCATCAGAGACAAAAATAGATATGGGTGGTTCATGCACAAGGGGCAGCAATATTTATAGGATGCAGTCGCCATGTTACCGCATACAAAATAGCATTCACAGCTACCCCCCTTCAGCCGGAAATGTCGCACTTGGTGTGTTAATTGTTTGATGGCCGACATTTGCGTCGTTTATTGCAGCAATTTCATCACGTGCGTTGGATGTTGGCATGATGATTGCTCGACCATCTGACGCATCGATCATGGTTTTGGGAAATTTGTTCACCTGTGCGCTCACCGCGTGGCTAATTACTTCGCCTAGGCGGAGGCGAAGATGTTAATCGACTGGGGGCCAATGAAGGTGAACTGGAATGCAGCACAAGGACCTGACCCAAAAAGTGATTGACTCTTCTTCAAGAACATAATGCAGCACTTGGTAGATAGCTGTTGCCTACTGAAGAGGAAGCCGCGCATATCCTCACCAGAGTGGGTGACGTCAGAAATAAAGAAGAATCTTAAATTGAAAGGGAGACTTTGGAAAAAGTACGCCAGTTTTCAACAACCAGAGCATTTGGCTGACTTCAAAAAAACAGAGGAATTTATGTCGGAATCTGTTGAGGAGGCAATGGGCACAATTTGTGTCAAAACTTTTAAAAAATATCCCGCAAAATTCAGCAAAAATTCTTTGGATACGTGAATAAAGCAAAACGCAACCGGGACTGCATTCCCTGCCTAAAAGATCGCCAGGGAAATACGTTGTCTGACAACTGAGATAAGGCAAATCTGTTATCCGACTTCTTCACGTCTGTGTATACTGAGGAGCCGGCTTTTGATGAAAGAGTTTACCTCCCAAATGTCAAATCCAACAGTACAATTAGCACGATGGACTTCACAACAGACACGGTAAGGAAAACTTTGAGGCAACT